GGCCAGTGATATCATGTTTTCTGCAATTGCCTTGTGCCTAGACTCTGGTTAGGCCTGCATCTGCATTAGCTTCATCTCATCTCAGTTATCTAGAGGTGAATTAAAATTCTCTGTGTATGAGTGGTTAGTCAAAAATACATGTGTTGCCCTGATGTTGCTGTTTCCTAATGTTCCTCCTATGCACTTCAAATTCTCCCACTGCTAAGCTCAGCTCACATCCATGTTCTCCCAGAAGCCTTCATCATTTCCCCAACATTATCAGAACCTAATGTGTGCCTGATGAGGCCCAAAGATGCAAGGAATACAATAATTCACAGTTTGTGGGTTTATTCCAGTGCTCGGGATAATTATTGGTTCATAGTATCTACTATGGTTTCATGTTATTAACAAGATTCTGATCATGTTATTTTACACCCTCATTTTCTTACCTGATTCATATGCTCTTCAATTAAAAATAAAACCCACAAACTGTGGGTAGGAAATGATACTTCCTTGTGTGACAGAGAAGAAATGTGAGTCTGTCAAGATCTCACTTTTAAGTCATAGAGGCAGGGCTTGACTCAGGCCATCTGTTTTACCTGCCCCAAACCTGAATGAAGCCCATGCCCTTAGGATAATGCACAGGCTGTTGAAGGAGGATTCAGAGCTTCCTGAAAATCTGAATAATGCATGTGTGCTGAGCCAGGAACAGCAGACATGCTGCTTTCTCCAGAAAACTGAGTGATACCTGAGCTTGTACATGTGGTGATCTCCATTTGAGGAAACAGAGGCTAAAAAGGTAAGAAACAGTCTCAGTCTCCCATTTTCTCAAATGTAGACCCAGGATTTAAGTCTGGATCAGTGTCTCCAAGACCTGTGTCCAGAGCTGGACATTTTCCAGGATAGAGACCATGTATATCCTTCTTCTTGGGTTCCTTACTATCTTCATGAAAGGACTGAGTAAAGGTCATCCCAGAATGACAACTCAGTTCAGGGACTACTGGCTAAGCTCAAGAGGTTATGATGTTTGTTGTTGTTGTTGATTTTGCTTGCTTGTTTGTTTTTCAGAGAAGATAGCAATGTCTTTAAGTCAAGGCCATTTGTTAATCTTTTCTCTTCTTGCTTTCCCTGATTCTCAAGTCTGCCTATGTCTGGGAACACTGAATTCACAATAGATGGATGAAGAAATCCGTGGCTGAGTGAATGAAACTTGGTCCTCACCTCTTTTTCTAATGTTAGAAATTATGTATAAGGACCATATCAGTCCAAAGTTCAAAATCTTTTGTACACCTTGACTCTAAGCAAGGTGGTATATTCCAAGATTTGCTTCTTTCCCAGCAACCCCTTCCTGACCTCTGGCCTACAAATGGAAGCTTGCTCTATCTTGGGCCCATCATTTATGTAGGAAATGCTGATTTACTGTGTCATAAATAAGTACCAAAGGCAGTTACTGATGGAAACAGCCTACAATAAAATAAAGAAATATTGACACAAGGAAAGGTGCAGCTGAGATTGCCCCAGGCTCCCTCCTCACACCTTTATCATAGGTCAGAATGTGTTGTCACAGGTACTATGAACATAAGAGGGGCACGCTGTCTGCCATGACTAGCCCATATCAAAAAGCACAAGTTCAAAGATCAAAAGACTCAGGCTATTGCCTTGTATCCTGGCTGCATGTTCCAGCTTTCCCTAATCAGAGTTCCAGTTTCTCCTTATGTAATTACATGGGTTGTTGGGTTTTCTGTGCTTTTACAGCTTAAGTTTATTGAAATTATGTCTTAGTCACTCTGGGATCAGGCCTCACACTGGTAACTGAGACTAGATATCATTGTCCTTGTTAATGTGAGAGAGCTTGGAAGAGAAAAATGTGTATCTCAGATGCAAGGTAGTTTCCACCCACATCAGCTCCAGACATCTACTGTGGCTGCCACACAGATGAGGAAAATGAGATACATTGAGGATACACAACTGGCCAAAGGTGGTTAGCCAGGAAGATAGTGGTCATAATTCCATGTCCATTATAAGCAGCACTCCCAGATCCTTCATCTCCGAGAAGGCCAAGCATCATTGGATCTGGTGTATAGAAGAGGAAAGTCTAGTCTCAGGTGCCAGGAGGACACAGCAATATAATAGCAAAAAATGGAGCTAGCAAGGATGACCTTGACATTTCCATTCTGAGCAAAGTTTCTTTGATCAGAGATGTTAGGAGAAGTAATATTTATCAAAGTAGAAATAGAAATTCAAAGTCCAAAATGTGGAAAGTCTCCAGCTTCTCCAGTATTTACAGGTATGCCAAGAACAGAGCAAAGTGATGACTTTTATTGTTATGACTGTTATATGATAATTTTGTTTGTTCCATAAACAAATTCAAATAAGGTCAAGAAGTGAGGAGGGTCTTCTTGGTCCAGAGATGAAAGCATGGTTCCGTATGTCCAAATGAATACAAGAAATGGAGAATATGAACTGAATACAAAGTAAGAATAAAACAATCATCTTGGTTCAGAAAAAGGCTTAAGACAGAACACTGTTCTTGAGCTGAAAAGCCTTGAGCCCCCTGATTATCCCACTCAGTTCTATGGCATTTCCTTCAATCCATGGAGACTTAGCCTAGCCAGAATGGGTGAGCTGACATAATATACATGTTATATCATGTTTTATGTTGTCTAAGAAATTATAACTGCAAAGCATTGAGGAATAAAACTAGATGTACTTTTGATTTTATTGAACCTATTCTTTCTGATTTTGCTTGAGGAATCTGAAGAGGTGTGTAGGGCACACAGGCCAGTCAAAGATGGCGCTGAGGGGAAGTCAGATGGGAGGGTCCTGAGTTGTTTTGTAAGAAAAGATGATTAGCTGCCTAGATCAAACCAGATGAGGTCACTGTATGAACAGCTACTATTCACTAGGTAAAGTGTAGGGTGCCTAGTTAATCTAGTATTGTTACAGGAAACAAAGCTCTCAAGAAACCAGGCAATGAATGATCAGAGGATTCAGTTGCTTTAGGCTAGCTGACCCAGCTGAGCAAGTGCCCTGAAGATTCACATAGCATCCATAGAATTTTGGCACTGGTTATTTTAACTGGTACAGTACTTTTGAATTTATATGACTGAGGTCTATAAGGCCATCTGCCGTTGGTCTTTTAGTCTTATTGTCATCTAGGACAGTTCTTCTTGGGGAATCATGTTTACAGAAGCAGAACTGATAAGGTTTAAAAGCATCTTCTGCAATGTTTATGCTTCCTTTGGATGGTCCATGAATAGCCTCACCCAGGAATAAACGTTAACAAACCCAATATTTGAATCAGCTCAGTGCTGGCAACCATTGCTGTAGTGAGTTTATGACTGCTATAGCTTTGCCAATCTCAAAAGACAGTGTTTCACATCCTCCTCCCCATTATCTGGTGTTATATTCTTTCCACCTCCTGTTTTCTGATGGTCCTGGAGACTTGGAGGGATTTCCATTTCGGAGGAAACAGTTAATAGTCAATTATTCTCAGACCTTTGAACAACCACAAGACCATACTCTCCAAATTAAGTTTCTTTGATCAGGATGAAAGTAAGGTTTCTCTTTGGGTTTAAACATTAGTATTAAGAAAGCAGTTTGACATCATCTCTACTTGCAAAACAACAGGAGTAAGTAACTTCTTCCTAGCCATAGATCAGGAGTAAAGAACCAGGCATGAATTCTCTCTTATGGAGCAAGACTCAAATAGAGACAGAGAGTAGGTGGTTACTTCTGTTTCACTTTTGTACTAGTGGACATACGTTTCCTGGAAGATTAGTATTGCAGCATGCAATGACTACATGCAGATGTTTCCATTCATGAGTTGTTTTTTCCCAAGTTACCCTCACAGCACTTTTTTGGCAATATGAAAGTTGAGCAATACAGAAGTTTCCAGTTGAATTTTTTCATTTATCTCTGTCCTACAACTAAAGTGTGTGGAATCTTCACAAATAGGTTCTTACTAGTTCATTCTAGTAGGTATCCCTAAGAAATATCAATAGTCTCTATTGTTTTGGAAGTCTTGAGAGCCTTCCTAACAAGCAAATAATGGAGAACTATCCAATACCTGTAACTGAAATTTTTATCATGGGTTCTGGGATTGGCATTATTCATCCATGCAAGGTACTTCTAATCAAATTCTATTTTTTAATTATAGTTTTTAATTATAGTTTAATTATAGTTTTTAAGTTTAGATTAGTAGATTTCTAAGTGACTTTTTTCTACATTGTTAGTAATGGTTACCTTTATTCACAGCCTCCTTTCTTACTGTCTTCTTCACCTCTCTTCTTTAGATATGCCCTATGCTTCTGCTCTCCTAGATTGCTTCTACTTAAAGCATTACATATTGTGACTCAAAGGTGTCATCCAGGAGTGTTTTCTACAATCTGGTTTCAGCCATAAGTTCAGGAGAACACTGTGCCTCTGATATTTGAACATGGGAATTCCTTAGTGATTTGTCTAACACTAACAGAAATGATTAGTAATAGTTCATTTGTTATCACCTTTCAATACATAGTTTTTGTCTATGTCTTAAGCTGTAGTAGGTCCAGCGGCTGAAGGATTTCATTCATAAGAGTACATGTCTGAGCATGCCTCTGATTTTCCCCCATGAGCACCTGGACATACACATAGAGAAGTTAATAGTTGGTATAAAATGCTCCTTCAATATGAAGATCCTACGGCATTCAACTGTGATATTAGCTCACACTTGACATCTAGAACTCTAGTAAATGGTAGTATCATTCTTCTCCATGTACGATGACATCTCTCAGCTAGAGGTGTAAAACAATTCAAAATTCACAGCCTGTTTTTCTTGCAGCATTATTCTTTTGTCTTTGATTTCAAGGTAACTATTCTCTATGGCACATATTACCTCTTGTGAAATATCTTTATGAATTCTCTCTCCCTCCTCACCTCTCTCTCCACCCTCCCCCCCTGGGGTTACATAATTTTATAGTCAGTCCAAAACACAGATACTTATTAGACCTTATAAAGAACATTTATTCTCAAAACTGAGGTCACAAGTACAAACATTTCCCCTCTGGCCTCTGTTCATCTCTATAACAAAATTCTCCAGGGTCCTCCAAGATCCATCTTTAATTTACAAATATCTTTAGTGAGAGAACCATATCTTGGCTTCTCTGATCTGAAGCTCTCAGAGCCTGGCATTCACAGCTCATTGTGCTCTGGCTGGGGTTGTTTCTTGGCCAGGATCTCAGTCCATAAAGCTACTTCCTCCCCTTTTAGTCTCTTGGCTTGCTGGGTGGTGGCACCGATCTGCAGGTAGCCTTCCTTCTGGTCATACTCTGGCCAATGGGGCAGGCCTTCACCATTAGGGTTCCTGGGAACAGAATCAAACTGAATTCCTCAAAGCTACTGTGATTCTCCATTTTTTTTTTTATGAGATACAGTGATTCCTGGATTATATGTTCTCAACCATTACAGGAGATGGGGAGAACCAATGTAAGCACAGAGGTTTGAAGTGACTAGATTTGAATTCATCACTAAACTTAGAAACTGTCCTTTTTCCCAGTGAGCACCTGAAGGTCTCACCTTGCTCACCACCCCAGTCCCATCTTTCTCCCCACCTCACCCATTTCGAGCAAAGTTGGCCCAGAATTTCATCACCATCTTGCTGAGATTGATCTCCTCTTCTGAGGTACCCTCTGTGGGGAATAAAAGAAGGAGAGAGAGGTTTAAAACTTGTCACCACTAAAAGCATAGCTCTTGGGCCCACCAGCAGCAGAATTCAGGGTACTGTTAAGAAAGGCACAACTTCTAATTAGTCAAAGTCTACAAAATCCTGGTTAACTAGTGTATAATTTCAGACTGAGGATAACTGATCCAGGACTTACCAGTGAAATGCAGACCATCCAGTACTAACTGCCATTATTTTACATGTCCATCTCTTTGTTCTTCCTCATTCAGGGTAGAAAGATCTATCCCATAATATTGTTGGCTCTTAGATCTTTTCTTAGTTTTGTAGAGTTGTGAGGGTTGAAAAATATAAAAATGCAAATGTGCTAAGAACTTTCTTAACTGGGAGTTTCCCAGAGATACCAATGTGTCATGAACAGCAATGAGACAGGTTAGGAGCCACATTGGATGTTTGAAAGTCAATGGGTTAGGAAGGTTTTCCTCAAACATTAACTGTGTAATAGCTTGATATTGTATTAACAATAGTATTGATAAAAACACAAGTACTTTAAATATCTACACAGATTGATGGAAATACCAATAAATGTGAGTCTGGTTAATAGCACCAATTATGACTTCACTTCCAGTCAGTCATAATTTGATATGTTATTTTGAATATAAAGTTAAGAAGTGGCATTCTTGTCATCAAGTGGCTTATTATGACATACAAAATCTCTTTCTATAGTCAGTGATCAGGAATGTGAGAGCAGGTATGCTGGGAACATATTTATATATCCTTCCTAGTGTATGTTAGACCAGCAGAAAGGCTGCTCACATTCATGTGTATCTCATCCCCTTTTTGTTGAATTAAGAAATTAAGATCAAGATTGGAGAAATTTGTTTAAGGCTGCCAAAATCAAGACTGGAGGCTGGACCTCTTAATTCTAACCTCATACCTGCCACACAGGAGCCATTACCTCTTAAAATGGGGGCTCCAAAGACAGAGTAGACTTCATCTCCATGGTCTCCGACTACATTTTTGGGTCTCATGTGTGATGAGAAGCTTGGGTGGTACTGAAACTCATACATGTAGGTAGGAGCTCCAGTATCTGTAAAGACATGGATTCATATCAGCTCATGTTATTTGACATATACCCAGATGGAATCAAGGCTACTCCTACCTTTGAAGGAGAGCCCTGTTCATAAGTACTTCAGAAAACCAACTTCAGGAAAGATACTTGATTTGCTTATATGTACATAGCTAATAAATAAAAGTGGTATTTGAGTCTTATGTTAATCCAATTAAAATAAATGTATACAATGAACCTGGTAAATATACTACCTATATGTTAACAGGTTAGCTTGATGCTTTGTGGGAGTTCTAACAATGGGAGCAAGCATGTCTCAACTCTTTGGCCTGCTCTTGGGTCTCTTTCCCTCCCATTGAGTTGCCTTGTCTGGCCTAGGTATGAGGGCTTTTGCCTTGTCTTATTGTATCTTGTTTTGTCCTGTTTGGTTGTTGTCTCTTGGAGGCCTGCTCCTTTCTGAAGGGAGATGGAGGGTGAGTGGATCTTGGGGCAAGGGAAGGTATGGGAGTATCTGAGAGGACTAGTGAGAGGGAAGACTGTAGCCAGGATATAATATATGAGAGAAGAATCTATTTTCAGTATAGAAGAGGCACAAAATAAAACCAAAAGACTCAAGGCATTCTCCTATGGAGAATCATCAAGCCATAAGGGAGGGCAGCCATATATGTGGAAAAATATTGAGTATTTGAGAAACAGCAACAATAACAACAAATCCTAAGAAAATAGCAATATCGAGTTTTTGCAAAGTAATAATCCCCTCCAATATAAATAGATTATACTTTCCTAAGTAAGGCAGAGGCTTTTTTCACTTTTAAACCTTTATATCTTTGAAGGTGAAAGAACAGGAAGAGGTACTATACACATGTAGAAACTAACAGAGAAGAGACATTGCTACGATTAAATGAGAAGATAAAGTTCAAGTCAAGACCATAAAATTAGAGAAATAAAGGCATTGCATGTTGAATTTATTGGTTAATTCATCAAGAGAGAATAACAATTGTAAACATATATCCAATATCAGAGCATCTAAATATACAGAACAACCATCAGTTGGTCTTATGGAAGATAAAGATCATATACAATAACAGGAAGTTACTTCAGTATCCCCACCCTTAAAAAAAGTCAAGTCATTCATATGGAAACAGCTCTGGGATAAAGCATACAAATATTCCAAACAAAATGAAGAGGCTATGCCAACCAAGATTTATTTTTTAAAATCCCATAGAATTTTCTTCAGAAATATATTCCACGTGAAGACAGAAGAAAAAAATCTTCATCAAAGTTAACAATAATGAAATTATAGCAAGTATTTTCTTTTTCTGAATTGACTTGACTGATGGGAGATGTCCTTCTGTGTGTATGTTTTTCTTATTGATTGATGAATAAAACTCTTTTTGTCTAATAGCCAGGCAGGAAGCATAGGCAGGGTAACCAGACCAGGAGAAGGCTGGGGAAAGGAAGACAGAGGGAGGCCTTGAGGAGACGCCATGTAGCTGCCAAAGGAGTGACATGTCAGGGTATTCTCCAGTAAGCCGAGACCACATGAAAACGCATAGATTAATAGAAATTGGTTAATGATTAGGACAGAGCTAGGACAGAAGCCCTAGCCATCAGCCAACAGTTTTATAATTAATACGGCATCTGTGTGTTTATTTGGGGAAATGTAGCTGTGGAACCAGGCAAGACAGAAACTTCCATCTTCAAATGGTGCCACCAATGTGGGTTTCAATAATTTCCACATAAAATCTGACAAAAGGTAAAAGGGATTCTAAAAACAAAAGAACAATGTCAAGAACAGCTTCTTGGTAGCAACATTTTCTCTCAGGCTCTTGTTTGCTAGAGACAAGGAGAGGAGTGTGGCTCCTTTAAGGGAAGCTTCCTGTCTCAGCATTATCAGCAAAAAATCCAGGGCTTTTTAAAGAGGCTCTGATACCAAACAATTAAGTTGTATTTTATGAGCAGCCGACAGCATGCTTCTTCTTGGCAGCATGAACCCAGAAACTGCACAGTTGTGGCAATAAGCATGAAGCTAGAAATGAAGCTAGACTCTCAGAAAGCCAAGGAATAGAATGGGGCCAGCTGCTGCTTTAATTTAGCAATGCTGTTTAGCAGATAAAAGACTCATGGGCAGAAAAAAAGATGTACAGTAGAGACAGATTCAGAGGGAAAAAGAAAAACCTCAAACAGCTTACAATGTGTTTAAAAATATACATAGGCTTGGGAGAGGAAGAAAAGATAAATTGGTTAAAAAAGAAATAGAGTAGCTAGGTGATGGTGGCTCACACCTTTAATCCCAGCAGGGGCAGGCAGATCTCTGTGATTTCAAGGCCAGCCTGGTCCACAGAGTAAATTCTAGGATAGGTAAAAGTACACAGAGTAATCCTGTCTCAAAAAATTTAAAAAAAGTAAAACATAGATTAAAAAAAAAAAAATCCACCCAGTGATGGAAAATACTAGATACTGTATGTTATCATGTTGTCTTTGAATTGTTTGATTGCTGAGAAAGGAGCAACAGTTGCTAACCGACATTTGATTATAAATGCTGCTGGATTAATCCAACCTATATATTTTAAACATGCTTTGATTTCAAAATGTATGTCTAAGGACATGTTACCTTGGAAACTAGATTCTGCTTTTGTTTCCACAGAAAATGAAAAGCTGTGGATTCCTTCCAGACTAATATAGTTCCCGAAATAGTGGCTCAGGTGATCCAACATCCAAAACAGCTGAGACACTGCAGCCTAGACTGCCACAGCCGGATTTGGTCAGGATTCTGGATTTTCTCAGGATCCACATGGTATTGACAGAGCCCCCATACAGCAGGAAGGAGTTTGGAGAGAACAACACCCAAATTCCCAAATATTGTTTATAAATGTTTGTTTTCATTTAAATGGAGTTAGTTATAAATGGTGAATGATCACAACCAATCTCTTTTTAAAGGAAAAGGGGGGAGTACTGCTCCTGGAGCTATCACCATATCTGATTTCAAACTGTACTTCAGAGCCATAGGACTAAAAACAGCATGTTATTGGCACAGAGAGAGACATACAGATGGATAGGGTAGAATAGAGGACCCAGATATAATACCACATGACTACAACCACCTGGCTAACAAAAATGTCAAAAATATACATCAGGCAAAAAAAAGCTTCTTTATTCTAGGAAAGACAAATATGTTTGTGTTGAAAAATGAAACTAAATCCTTATTTCTCAACTTGCACAAAACCAACTACCAATGGGTGGAGAACTTCAACCTAAGATTCGAAACTGAAATTGCTAGAGGAAAATGTAGGGAGTATGTGTCAAGATATATACACAGGACTTTGTTTCTGAATAGGATTGTTGAGAGAATAAACCCAGTAATCAACAAATGAGACTTAATAAACTTAAAAAAAGAGATTTTTTGTAGAGCAAATAGAACTCAGTCAACTGAGTTTCAAGCAGCCTACATGATGAAGGAGACTGTCATTTATATCTGATAAAAGGATTGGTACCTAGACTATACAAAGTTACAAGAAACTAAACATCAAGAAAATAAACAACGTAATAAAACAAAAGACATGGAAATCTCAAAATGAGAAGTACAAGTGGCTAAAACCGTTTTATTAGCATCAGGAAAATAAAAGTCAAATTCAAGTTATTTTTAGATTCCCTCTTGCCACAATCAGAATGATTATCACCAAAAAAAGAAAATAAATAAACACTTTCAAAAAACAAATGTCAATTAATGCTGGTAGAAATAGAGGGAAAGGTAACACATATCCATTGTTGGTAGGAGTGCAAATTGGTTCAGCCACCATGGATATTTGTGTGGAGGATTCTCAAAAAGCTGAAACTAGAAGTACCATGTGACCTGTCCTTTGGGACATATACTTTCTAAGGACTCTATAGTCTCTTCTAGAGTTATTTGCAATCCTTGCTGCTCTATTCCAAATTACTAGAAGTGGAATCAGCCTAGACATACTTCAAGTTAAGAATGAATAATGAGAATGAAGTACACACACAATGGGCTTTTACTAAGCTGTAAAGAAAGTCAAATTGTCAAATTTGTAGGAAAATAAATGGGACTGGAAAACATTACGCCAAGTGAAATTACTCATCTTTGGACAGACAAATGCTGTGTTCCCTCTTGTATGTGGACCCTAGTTTCAAATTTCTAAGTTTTTTGCATTTGGGGGGATCTATACAAGTCAGGAAGCTTTAAAGGCACAGGGAAGTTAAGGAGAAAATGTGTTAAGGAGTTAGGAGATACTAGAACACATTGCATGAAAAAAGGGAGTGGAGTGTTGAAGGTTAAAGTTTAAGCAGAGACTAGAGAAAAAGGAGATGGGAAGGGGAGAAGTGAGTGAGAGCTGCTTGATCAAAATTAAAGATGTATGAAAAACCCTTAGGAAACCCACTGCTTTTTAAACTAATTTGAAAGTGCATTATCTTTGAAAAGGGAGTTTGAACACTACATGAGTTAACAATACATTCCCCAGAAGATATGAGTTAGAAAATAAAAGTTACAGTGCCATATGATTTATTGGTCAGAGAAGCCCCAGAACACCCCTTCATACACTACAAAAAACATAAATTATTGCCATTTTTCTTTGTTGCCCAGCAAAACTAGACTTAGAAATCTTTTGCTGATCATGTAACACATTTTGGTTGTAGGACTCAGAGAAATCAAGCTGGAGCTGACTTGAAAATGGTCACATTCCTGGATAGTTTATGTATTGTTGGAAGGTGCAATTTAGGCTGTTGGGGGTACAGGGAGTCATTAATTGTATTGCATAACAATGAATTCAGTTTTTTTTTTTTTTTTTTTTTTTTTTTTAGTTTTACATACCAACCACAGTTCTCCCTCCCTCCTCTCCTTCAGTTTACTCCTCCCTCACCCCTATCCACTCCTCAGAGAGAGTAAGGCCTCCCATGGGGAGTCAACAAAGCCAGGCAAATTAAGTTGTGGCTGGGCCAAGCCCCTCCTGCTACACCAAGGCTGAGTAAGGTATCCCTCTATAGGAAATGGTCTCTAAAAGCCTGTTCTTGCACTAGGGATAAATCTTGTTGCGACTGCCAGGGGCCCACAAACTTCCCAAGCCATACCACTGTCACTCATATTTAGTCCATTGCAGGTTCTCCAGCTGTCAGTCCTTGAGCTTCCACTAGCTGGGGGCAGCTATCTTTGTGGGTTTCCCCATCATGATCTTGTCCCCTTTGTTCATATAATCCCTCTTCCCTTTCTTTGACTGGACTCTGGACTCCAGAAGCTTGGCCCAGTGCTGGGTTGTGGATAGCTGCATCTGCTTCCATCAGTTCCTGGATAGAGTATCTCTGATGACAGTAGGGCAGTCATCAATCTGATTGCAGTAGATGGCCAGTTCAGGCACCTTCTTCACTATTGCTATGAATCTTATCTGGGGTCATCTTTGTGGATTCTTGAGAATTTCCCTAACACCAGGTTTCTCCCTAACCCCATAATAGCTCCCTCTATCAAGGTCCAGCAGTCTTCTACATTTGTCTCCTGCAAGTACATAGGACTGCATGTCCAAATCAGTGGTTTTAGAAACAAAAGAACAGAGACAAGCAAGGTTTCTTGGTAGTAGTATTTTTCTTGGTTGGACTCTGCATGACTCCTTTAAGGGAGATTTCCTGACTCAGCATAAGCGGCAAAAAACCGCAAGGCTTTTAAATGACTCTGCTAACAATTTATTGGTGTGTATGAGAGATGGCAATGGCAGTGACCACATCTCCAAGCCGGCAGCATGCTTGCTGGATGGCAGCGTAGACCTAGGCAGTGAGCATAACTTTCAGTGCTGGCAGTAAAAGTACCCGCCGCTATCTTTGATAAACCATGGCTGACACAGCTATGACTTTCATTTTAGCAATGTTGTTGTTTACCAGATAAAAGACTTATAGCCAGAAAAAGATGAAGATTTACAGTAAAGACAGATTCATATTAAGAAAAACCACTAAAGGCTTACAGTGAGTTTTAAAATATATGTAGACATGGAAGAAAAAAAAAAAAGAATAAAATGGTTTTAAAATGACAAAGAGAAACTGGGTGTGGTGGCACACACCTTTAATCCCAGCACCCGGGAGACAGAGGCAAGCAGAGCTTTGTGATTTCAAAGTTAACCTAGTATGCAGAGTAAATTCCAGGACAGATAAGAATTACACAGACAAACCCTGTCTCAAAAACTAGAAAAGAAACAGAATTAAAAAAAAAGCCACAGATGGAGAAAATCTGGATTTTGTACGGTATTATATTGTCTTTGTATTGTTTGACTGCTGAGGAAACACCAACTGTTAAAACAAATGCTGCTGGATCAATTCAATTTATATATTTTAAAAATGCTTTGACTTCAAATTTAAGTCTAAGGACAAGTCACTGGGGAAAAGGATTTCTATTTTTGTTTCCACAGAAAATAAAAAGCTGTGGATTCCTTCCAGACTAATGTGGTTTGAGCAAGCCAGACCCCCTGAAACAACATTCCTGGTGATCCTACATTCAAAACAGCTGAACAAAGCAGCCTTGCAGACTACAGCCAAGATATCTGTGTCTTCTTAGGATCTCCCATGACAGCACCCTTTAACAGCAGGAAGTAGTTTGGAAAGAACGACACCCAAATTCCCAAATATTGTCTATAAATGTTTGTTTTCCTTTAAATGGACTTGGTTACAAATGGTTAATGATCACAGCCAATTCTTTTTAAAGGCAAAAAAAGGGGATTATGGTATAGCTATGAATACTTTGTTTTGGAATGGATTTTCATTTATTGACACAATTTAAGGTCAATTTTATAATATGTATATTTCTCTTGTTTATGTATTATGTTTATATAGCTCATTTAGGAATGTAATGTATAATTTAGTACGGATTATAGTTACCTATAATAGTCAAAATTTATAGTGTTAGTTAAGTTTTCTAGATATAAAGACATGTATTTGAGATAGATAGGTATTCTTCAAACCTTTCAAAGACCTACAGAATATGGCATTTAAAATGTTTTAATATTAGTACTCCATTGACATGAGACACTGTTGCTCCTGACAGCACCGTGTACTTTCCCAAAAATATGTTGGACACTGTTTGTTGCTCCTGCTGGAATTCATTCTCGCCTCAGCTAATGGCCTGTTGGGCAAAGAACTGCCCCCACCTTGACCACTGATTTGGTCATGCAGTCCTATGTGTTTGCAGGAGACAAATGTAGAAGACTGCTGGACCTTGCCAAGTCAGGGTAAGACAGCCTTTCTACCTCCCTGCTGTTGTTGTGGTCTGTCAAGTTCTCTTGGCCTTAGCCAAAACTGGGTGTACCAAAATTGCTGTGAGACCTTGGGTGACTGTCCAGGTAGCTTGATGTTTCTGTCTTTGCTGTACATTTTGGAAGTTTCCCATCCGCACTTCCTGTCCACTCTAGTATCGTTATTTTCTATCTCAGCTCTTGATGAGGTTGAAGATTAAACTATCACAACTATTATTCTCTCTTCCTAGTTAGATATATTAGGTACTAGACTTACGTTTTCCAGCTTAGGACAACTCTATTGTAAAACTCTGTTATGCCTTCACCCTAGGACTAGATATGTAGGTCGTTTTGTTCTCGATTTTCCTTTTCTTAGATCACACTTATTATTCACTGTTTTGTATATAGTTTTGTATCAAGCCTAAATCTTTTCTGATGGGAGATGCCATTATGTATATATGTTTCTCATACTGGTTAATGAATAAAGCACTGTTGGCCAATAGGAAAGGAGATAGGAGGGACTAGGAGACAAGGAGGAAAGAGGAAGTAGTAAGGAGGAGTCAAGATGGAGAGACTGGGGAGACAAGACGCTGGCCCTTTTCCCCTGTAAGAAGACCATGTAAGATCACGTGGAAATATATAGAAATGGGTTAATACTTAAGTCAGAGCTAGACAATAAGAAACAAGTAACTGGCCAACAGATTATATCAAATACAGAGTCTCTGTGTGTTATTTGGGGCTGGCATGGTGGCGGGACAAAGACCAGCGGCGGCGGAAAAACCTTACTCCTTACACTTTTCTTTATACTAAAGGGAATTTTAGTGGGGTATTCACTTTGTCTCCTTCTGTGGCACTGACCATGTCATTTGGGGGGTGGAGCCAGGGGCAGAAGTGACCCGTGGAACTAGGACTGAGGAGGAGCTGGTGAAAGCTCTCTTGCTGGCAGGATGTGGAGAGGGGAGCATCCAGTGGTTCATCTGTCTCGGTTTTAAGTTATTTCTCCCTGAATAAACATCTATTCGGCCTATTTGTTTATCCTGATCCTTATTTAACTGCAATAGGACTGGGAGAAGAGGGAGGGGAACCGTAGCTGGTATATAAAATAAATGAAATAAATGTTATTTACATAAAATTTTTAATAAGACTTGAAGTCTCAAAAACCAACAACAAAACAAATACAAAAACAAAAGCCAGCCATAATGATTCTTGCAGATGAAGTCATCTATACTATGAGCCTTTGGTGCATGGTACCCCTGTCAGTGCAGGGCAGCCTGAGTTCTACCTCCAGCACTGATGACTCTTTGCTTCATGGTTTACTCTGGTCACTATAACTAGTCTACCAACAAGTAAAAACACAAACTGTTCAACTAACAAGTGAGTATTAGTGGGTAAACACCCCCTTTCTGTTATGCAGGAATAATCCTGAGACCTAACATATGATCCTTCCCAAAATATTCCACAGTTCCTGCTGTCCACAGTGGGCATGTACCTGGAAGTGTATTATTGATTGGTCTTCATCTCTTTTCTGTGTCAGTGCTCACATCCATGGTGTTTTTTACTGGTATTAACTACCAAATTAACGACTTGCATTTACACCTCTTCCTCAGAGTCTATTACTTGAAGAACGAAACTGAACAGAACCTTTGCTGAATAAAACTTTGCAAACTGACCATGAGAAGTTCCCACATCTGTCTATCCTAGGAAGTGAGCAGGTTAGGGCCAAAGTAGGAGAATCTTTGTCTCTCTTTGCCATCCAACTTCTGGGACTCACCTCTGTGGCCACGGGACACAATCACTGATGGGATACCAAATATCACATCCCCAATGAGCTCTAGGATTCCATCTCTGATTTTGAGTGGCTCACTGCTACCTCTTACATACTTCTCAATGGCAATTGGAATAGCATCCTCATTTATGCCCTGAAATGGATGACAAAAGCAATCACTAACATGTTCAACCAAATGAGACTGCACTGAATCTGACCTTCCCACCAGTTGTGCAAACCCTTCCTGCAGTAGTGCAGTGGGAGATATTGGACTGAACTATAATTTGAGCCAATCCCTTGAAACATCCAGCCAATGGCCACAAATCCCAAGGTGCTTACAAAGTAGGGAGTTAACTTCTGCAGGAGAGCCATAGCCATCTTCTTGTCCCATTTTACATCAGTTTGTGGAAATCCTATCATCTATTTAAAAAAGAAAAACAGGTTAGGTATTTGTAAGTCCTCAGGATTGGACAGAAAGAAACAGCCAGGAAAACTATCCAGTCCACTGTGGCATGAAAGTTTTATCTGTTCATCAGTGGGTGTGGGTCTCCCATGAATTTGAAAAAAAGAAATCAGTGAAGCAAGGGGATTTACAGACTCAGTGTCTGAATCGACAGCTATGTCTGTGCTCTTGCTGATGATCTCTGAACTCTATCTGCAGACAAAGAGAGCTGCATGGCTCTCACATTGAATTGATCTGTTCAAACCTCATGGCATTTGACTCAGGCAATGTAAGGCACATCCTAAGCACAACCTCACAAAATGCCTACCTGAGACAGTCCAATGCTTTCACATGAAATTACTCTTTCCTCTAGCAAAGCAACAGCAAAACATCAGTGACAAGTCTGGCCCCTGAACTGAACCCTCTTTTGGAACTGTTTCTATACAAAATCCTCACCTATCTATCTATCTATCTATCTATCTATCTATCTATCTATCTATCTATCATTTCTTTCATTTCTGAAGTGTACTGTGTCAAAACAAAACTTTTAACTCAAAAGCTTAAAGGTAATTTTTAAAATATTGTCAACAATTTTGGATAAATGTTGAGGAGGCTTTCTGTTGATCTCTCTTTCAGTCCCCGGGGAAGATAAGGACATGACTCCATTAAAGCTCTTATTTCAACTTGGACCTCTGCTTCCTGTTACCAAAAGGAGTCTCTTTCTTCTTGGGGTGAAGGCATGTGGACTCACCACCATCATTCCTTACTTTATTCTCAGCCTGGAAACATTGCCAGCTTCGGGGTCAGGGAGTTGAGTTCAGGTAATGTCTTATCATTTTATCCTGGCTATCCTATTCCTGAATAAAACACACTCTTTACTATTAGCAGTGAGTGTTTTAATCTTTAAAAAGAAAAGTCTCACTTTCCCTTTTCAAAATAAATATTAACTCAGAAACAATTTTCTCTAATAAGTCACTGCAAATTCCTGTGGAGTTCTTCAGGACCTGAAATTCCAAGCACAAGATGGAGGCCTCTGTGCCACAGTCTGAGTTTTCTGAACTCCCAGATCCTCCCTCACTTTCTGCTTGACCTTGGTCATTCAGACAACACAATGGTTATGCCAATAGACCCCATCAAGGCTAAGAATGGCAGAATTCATTAAGAAAAAACAAGGAGTAATTGGTATAAAGTTCGCAAGCCTGGGCATCTCAATTAGGCCATGCCAGAAAATGTTCCTTGGATGAATTTAGTATAGCAGTGGGAACAGCTGCCCTATACACAATGCAGGGCTTAAAGACAGAATTCACAGAACACAGTGGAGCCATGGTAGCAGGTGGATAGAGGAGCATCTGCCTATAGGTTCTGTTTATGCTCACTGTTGGCAGAAGCCAGCCAAACTCTTGCTTGTTGATTCCCACGATGTAGGGCACAGTGTTGAAATTCTTCTCATTCAGAATCTCTTCTGGTGCCTTGGGCAGCAACACTCCATCAAGCACAGTAGGTACAAAAGGATGGTTCTGGGGAAGAGGGCAGCACAGTGTCAGGTCACCAGCATCTGCTGCTCTGCCTGTCTAAGGGGACAGTTGGAACATAGACCCCATGACTGCAGATGGAGCATAGACCCTATGATTACAGCTGGAATATAGACCCCATGACTACAACTGGAATGCAGACCCCATGACAGCAGCTGGAACATAGACCTCATGACTGGAGGCAGCAGCTACAGAATTAGTATCTTTGGATGGTCAGTGAACCACAGAGACCAGATTTTCAGCAGTTGTGAGTGACGAGGTTAAGAGAAATAGGAGAGTGAAGTGTGGGAGGCATTTACATTAATATGTATCATATACAAACACTTCAAATTTATAAACACACACACACACACACATATATAAAACTTTAATCATTCATATAGAATTTATTTTTACTGTTCCTAATAGTTATGCCTATACAGTTTTCATGAATACTGGATTGGTGAATCCTGGGCCTCTGTTGCAATGGAATTCTAGAACTAGGTTCTTGAGAACCACTGGTCACAATATTGTCATCATTACTATATATGGGTACCTATAACTGGAGGTCTCTCTCCTGACCTCCAGTTCCCAAATAACCACTCTTAGGCCTAATATTAATTACAAACTTTTTGGCTGATGGCTCAGGCTTCTTACTGGATAGCTCTACATATTTCATGGCTTAAAGACACATTGTATAACATAGATTTCTTAAAACTAGTTCCTATATGTAAGATTTATTTAAACCATAATAAAACACCATTTGAGCATGGATTACTGCTTTCTCAACTCTGGGTAATAAGACACTAACTTTCCTCAGCTTCAGTTTCATACCTATGCTGCAGTTTCTTATTGCCATGTGGATGCTAAATATATGAAATCCACAAGTTTAGATGCTTTACTATCTTTTCCACAGTTTCATCGTACACCTTAGGTATCACATTTCCCAAAATGATGAAACTGGAAAACAGGTAGATCTCCTCCCCATCACTTAGATGGACTGTATTGTTGACCCAACAATGACTTCATGGTCAAGAGGATCATAGCCAAATGGAAAAGGCCATGAGCCAAGAACAGAGATGTTAACATTTGGGGCTAAATCCAGGACTGTCCAATTTCTAACTTGAAGGAATGAATGTCCTGAAGCAAGATTAAAGAGAAGGGCAGCCACAGAGTGACATACCAACACATCCTTATTTTCATGAGCTTTTTGGAGCTGTAATTAATTGGAGGTGCCGTACTTTGGATTGCAAGTGTCCCTAAAGACCAATGTGTTGTAGGTTTTGTCTCCAGTCTGTACTACAGTCTATACTACCCATGAGAGGTTGTGTATCCTTTAGGAAATGGAGTCAAGTAGGAGTTCAAGATATGTGAGTGTCAACACTCCACACACCCCTCCTACTTCCCTATTCATTTGCTTTAACTCTGTCCCTATTTTCCACTGTCTGTTTCTCAACTTAACTCCGATTGTAATTAGACATAACGTAGTTTGCCAATTTATTTTGTCACACCTTATCCCAAGAGGATGGGATTCTTTAAGTGGGACAGACCAATTTCTGCTTCACTGCTATGCCCATCTCTGAAACCATAACCTGTCCCATACTAACAGATTCTTTTAAATTATGCTGAAGATCTGAAAAAATTGAGATACTTTGAATTCCACAGATATTTGAGGGGCACCCTGGGATCCCTTGGAGGGACCGGAGAACATGACTGTAAATTCAGCACAGCTAATGACATTAGCCTCTGACTGCTGATAGGAAGTGAGAAGATGGGGAAAACGTATGTCACTACTAGAGTTGTCTGGGTACAAGAAAAAGGGTGTGGCATCTTCACCCTGTGATTCTTCTAGGATATTTGTGTTCCTCAGCAATGTTTTGCATGACCCTTAATTAGTCAATTTAACTGTCTGGCAGCACAACCTCATTTATAGCTCCTTTTAATGCAAGAATTGTAGTTGAGAAGAAGATACAAGATTGCTGATTAGGAGCACTGAACCAGCAATCAGAGGAGTAGTGCCAGTCTTGTCTCTGGTCCTCTTGGCTCTGTTAACCCATAAGTGATTTTTTTTTTGCTGCTGTAGACCTGGACATTACATTACACACACACACACACACACACACACACACACACACACACACACACACAAGAAAGAACTGTGATTACACAAACAGAAACTATTTCACAGCCTAACACTGTTAGACTCCAAACCTTAAAAGGTCCTTACCTCTTTGGAGTCTCCTTGTACATTGAGTTTAAATAGATTCTGTGAAGGCAAAAAAAGAGATTATGGTTAGAGGTCTTCCTGGAGAAAAAGTATATCTTTCACCCTGTTCTGTGACGATATATTATTTATGATCCTAATGAAACTTGTCTGGAGATCAGAATGCAAAGCTAGCCACAACCATAGAGGCCAGGCAGTGGTGGCATACATCTTTAATCTCAGGAATAAGGAGACAGAGGCAGATAGAACACTGTGAAGGCCACTTAGGACTACATGTGAGTGAATCAATTTAAAAGAAAAACAGAGCTCACACATTTAATCCCAGCACTAGAGTGTATATAAGGAGTTCTGAGAGTCTGAGAAGCAATGCAGTTTGGACATCTAATCAGAGGACACAATCTCTTTTTCAGTCTGAGCACTGATAGAAGTGAGAACTCTCTAGTGGCTGGCTGCTTTACTTATCTGATCTTTAGCTTGAACCCCAATTTTTGTGTCTAGGTTTACATTATTCCTGCTATACTGTTCTCCCAGTTCCTTCTCTGCATGGCATCCTCTTAGTACAGGTGCATAGTGGAACAGGTTGAGGGAGGGCAACTGTAAGAACTACCAAGTGCTAAGACCCAGAGTTGGAGTTGCTGAAGCTCCAAGGGGATGCCTGACTCTGTACCAGCATCCTCCTTCAGCCCTCTCTCACATCTCTCCCTCCAGGTACCAACAGCCCAAATTTTCTGTTGAGAAAACCTGCAGACAAGGTGACTTCAGTGGCAGGATGTTTTGATCTCAATGGGAAACTACGCTGGATGGATGATGAATGAACAGGATGAGTCCTCTACTCCTTCCCCTTTTGTAATTCTTCATGAGCATGTGAGCTGGATCACCATGCCTCAGAATGCAGGGCATAGCACAAAGATGGATACCTGACACTGTTGGTCAAACAAACTTTACATTTAAGCCATAGTTGACTTGGAGAAGGAGATAGTTTCTAAGCATACAGGGTATGAGTATTGATTGCTGTTATGCTAAATTTCTTCAGGAGGAAAGCATGCTTCAGAATGAAGCCAACAAATTAATGGGAAGCTGGGGTGTGGATTCTTATTATTTTCTGAGACCTGGAACAAGTTATGTTCTTAAATTTGAGTAATTTGAAGATTTTCTTACAACCCAATACTTTTGCTGTTCAAGGCTTCTTCTAACTTGAATGTTTGCTTATAATAGATGATCTCAACTCCTATAAACACACTGATACTCATTCCAGCCCACCAAAATTGAATGAGTTGTATTGCTACTTCAGAAAATGTGTCTGACGTATTTGTGAGTTATGGTCAGACTATCAAATGGTCCTTAACAGCTTTTCATTGAACAATGGTCCCATTTAGCTGTACTATTTTGGTAAATGCTTGAAATTTTGAGAAATGGGGCTAAGTAGTACAAAAGGAACTGCCTGAAATACACATAGCTTGCTTAATACTTTGCTAATCAGTTATAAATGAATCATTGCTTTGGGGTAAAGAAAATGTTTAACTACTTTTGGACTTCTAAGAAAAATGTAACGTGATTTCAATGTGACTTCTTCTTATGTAAAGATTTTAATTTGTTTTTGGAAAATACATAACTTATGGTTATGAAGTAATCTTTTCTTGCACAGAAATCTTTGTATTAGGAGGTATAAAAGAGATACAGGAAAAGGAGAAATGTAAAGGGAAACATCAATAATGTAAAGGGATAAAATCAGGAAAAATGTAGAAAGGGAAACAATTGGGAAGAAAAAAAAAAACAACAACAGGGTAAAAGACTAGAACAGAAAAGGAAAAGAGTCAGAAGAGAAACCAGCAGAGAGAGAAATAAGATGAAGAATTAAGCTTTGGTTCTCAGTAAAGTTCCAGTGTGTGTTTGTGCCTCTTTGTTCCAGTAGTTTGGCTATCCCCATATCCTCTCCAAGTTCTCTGATCTTCTGAAAGCCTGCATCAGACTGGGCCCCTAAGTGGCTAATAATAATAATAATAATAATAATAATAATAATAATAATAACAATGAACCTCAAAATATCAGTCTTTCTTGCTAGCTATAATGAGTGTTCTTTCTCTCTGTGTTCCAACAACACAACATATATCCTAATAAACATATTACTGTATTTCTTCTTAGATTATTCTTGCAAGCAAAAAAAAAATGTTCAATTTTTGTTTGACCTACTCTGACACTAATCTTCCAAGAAGTTATCATGGAAGGCTGGATCGATAAATAGATAGATATAACGATGGATGGAATTGTTCAATATATTCACTACTGATTCAGATGGAAGTGTGGAGAAAAATGTAAAAACCAGCAGGGAGCTGATAGATGATAATTGCTTTGGCAGGACTGGATAAAAATGCATATACATGTTGATTGGGTGACACTTGGATAATTAATAGATTGCTATAGATCCATGAACAGTGAGATATAGGTTAATTGTAGATTGATAAAGTTATTTCAATTAATTGAATATGTGTATGTATGTATGCATGAGTGGATGGATGATGAATAGACAGGCTTGGCTATTCATAAAACATAATCTTTGAAAATTATGTGTGAGTGTTTTTCTACTTTGGATAGATTCCTAATTTTCCAAGAAAATAAATGTGAAATGTTTCTGAAAACTTTACTTAATAGCCCTATGCTCAAAACCCAAGAAACTATTAACTTTCAAAAGAATGGAATGTTTAATCTCTCAAAACACAACTGAAAGAAGAATAGTGGAATATTAAATTTAGAAAGAATTAGGAGAATATTTTGAAAAATCTTACCAGATTGTTACTGAATTTCTTTTCTTCTAAAGTCTTCTAATAATAAAAGAAAAACTTTAAATTGCCACTTGGAATCAGATGGTTGACACTGCTCTCTCACCAGGAATGAGAGAGGGAAAGAGAGATAGAGATAGAGAGAGAAAGACACAGAGACAGAGAGGAGAAACTATGTCAAGAAGTTAGGGGTAAAGAACAGCTGAATAAACCAAGAACCAAGAACTTAGAATACAGACCAATGGAAAACACACCCACCAATTTCTGCATGACTTCCAAGAGCTCATCCTCCGTCTTCTGGCGCAGGCAGTGAACAATGACAGCAGATGTGGTAGTTTTGCACCCAGCAATAATAGCAATTTTCTGCATGAGATGACAGGCGACCATAGAGGCCATGAGCAACATTAGTATGCACCATTGGTGTAGATTGTGGGTTCCATCCTAAGCCCCATTTCTATAGACAGACAAGTGATCCTGAAAACACTCTAGACCAGCACACTTGGGGTCTAGGGCCCACAAAACTTTGCCCCTGTTATAATTTGTAATGGGTGGTATGAACACATCTGAGTCTGTTACCTTAACTTTTAAAATAGTCACAATATTAGAGAAGTGTATTGTCTTAAAAGAAGCCAAGGGCAGTGGATAAAGGGCTAGGAATCCACAATTCCACTGTCTATTTCAGATCCACTTTCTCCATTGACTAGTCATTTGGACTCTAGTTTCCAGTGACTGTTATACAAGGAGAGCTAATATATATGAAATGCTTCAGAGGGCACCCTGTCTTCCCACATGACCCATGCAGATTTTCAAGGCATCTGATTAACAGGACTCACAGGAAGAAACTTCAGAACCTATGGAGTGTAGTTCAGATGGAACCCTAGAAAGGATTTTTTGTCCAACTATTATCACTTCAGAAATCCCCTGAGAACATTGCTGAGTCCAACATTCAGAAACACACCCAAGGACTCCAGGAAAGATTATGGCCATTTTCCAGGGTGGGACATACCTCAGTGACTGTCCTTGGATCCTTGGTAAACAAACCAGGAACAAGGATCACACCACTCTCAGAAATGGCCCTGTGGAAGAGGTTCTTGGCCAGGGGAGACAACATCTAGAGAGAAGGGGAGGAGAGTTTATGCTCACAGGAGGGGCCCCATGACCCATTTGCCTCCCAAATGTTCCTCTGTCTTGGTTCTTCTCAGAGACTCTGGTACTCAGTAGATGTGACAGCATTTCATTTGTCTATTCTCTCTCTGAGTATTTTCTTGGGCCTGAGATTCCACAGAGAAACTGAGTAAAGTAAAACCAGGACACAGAATAAGAAACAGTAGCAGAAGTATGTGGCAAGTGCCTATGATGACAAAAAAAAAATACTTGAGGGACATTTTAGAAATTTTAGAAATCCCTAGTTACAAATTCTGTTTGAGAAATTCTTTTATCTTGATTTATCAAGAAAATTATCAGGTAAGAAAAAAAATATAAAGGATGCAGTTTCTTTGAGTCAAGCTAACACAAAAAATGGAAGAAAGAGAAGGAAGAAGTGGAAAGAAAGGGAAAATAGTGGTACCATCATGGAAACAATGGTAAATACTTCAAGGCCATAGCATTACAGTAGTAGATAAATAATCAACACATGGATTACTATGGAACTCTGTACAATTATGAATGATAATGCTATATGTATGTTTAATGATTTGGTAGCTATTTTTGCTATACTGCATTTTAAAGGATAGTTTCATTGTAAAAAAAAAGCATAAGATTATGCGTCAGAGGATGCCTGGAATCATGATGAATAAATTAAAGATGAATAGATAGATAATAGACATACTTTGAGGAAACAAGAGATACAGATATGACAAGATATCCACAGGAAGGGTATAAGAGTCATGGGCTATGGATGCCATTTTTCTCCTTAATATTAATCTGTAATTTTTCTTCCCTTAGACTTAAATGTGGGTGTATATGAAAAGAGTGTGTAAAATGAAATGCAGTAACTCCAATTATCCACATAAGCAATTTTGTTTTACAAACCAGTTTGGCTGTTTCCCACATGTACTACCCTGTCTCACTTTCATACATCCTTCCTCTCACTCACTGTCCCTAAAAGAACTCACCCCTCTGCCCAGATTCTGCTGCTGCCATGAGTCATGACAAACTATGAGGTCACTGCAGAGAAGATCCTGCCTACTGTCCACACGTGAAATCCCAAACATATAGATCTACCTTGGATCCAAACAATGAATTCTTCCTACTTGTGATTTATAATCAACCCAATTTCCCAAGAGAAGCAAGGCAAGCCCCGGTCATGACTAAGAAGCCACTGGTTGTTGATAGCAGCTTAGAGAAGGGGAGTCAGTGTTCTGTAAGAGTGTGGCTCTGGTGGATAGAACACTCTCCAGTGGAAGCCAAGAGTGTATGGACAGCATAAACTATACTAGATGAGTTTAAAACAAAAGGAGGTACAAAGTTAAATGGGAGGGAGGAGGAGGTGGATATGGCAGATGACAGGGAATGAATGAATATCATGAAAATGCATTGTATGAAATTCTCAACGAACTTTAACAGAAACATGACAAGGCCAAAGCCTGTGTAAAATGAGATTCAACCTGTTTCTTGAATAAACATGCTTTAAATAATTGAAAAATATAATTAATAAAGGGGAAAGGAATTCAGCTAAGTGAAGAGGACAGCACTGTCACTGCTTCAAGCTAGAACTGGAGATATCTATCACTACGTTGAATTCTGAGCTTCCTAGGAACCAAATACCATTAGCTTGGTTGTCAATGACTGGTTATCAATATTGTACAGTGAATAAAATGAACAATGAGTTCATGTTTTGTGTTTTGAAAGCAACCATCTGGTTTCTAATAGTTCCCATCAGTAAGCCTGGTGCTTGGGACACTTACAAGAACAGAGACACTTTCAGCTCCTGCTGACTCTCCAAAGATGGTCACAGAACCTGGGTCTCCTCCAAAATTGGCAATGTTGTCCTGAACCCAGCGCAGTGCAGCCACTTGGTCCAAATGACCCCAGTTTCCCCGGCTGTGTTCATCCCCTGTGCTGCAAGAGACAAAGAAGGTGTATACATTGCATGGCTGGAATCTTAGGACCACAGATATATTGGGATCCTTTGCAGCTTTCCAAAATCTAGGTGAATTCTGCATATCTGACATTGGAATCTTTACCTGCATGACTTTCTCCTGTATTATTCCAACAATTAACTATGTACTAAGGGTCCAATGTATATCTAACTCTGGTGTGAGGGCTATAGCACATCTTGAAACAAAAACTATGGCAGCACTCAGCCCACAGCACAGAGCACAAATTAACAAATAATATGATAATGCAGTGTCAGCAATGGGGAAAAGAAATTCAGGTAAAGAAAGAAGCAAGGGTAGGTCTGGAATATCCTGTGGACTCATAACTAGAGGAAACCCTTTTTGAGTTGGTGGCATTTGATAGAGACTTAAGTACAATCAACACCAGGGCCTTGTAAATATTTAAAGAACAATTTCAATTAAGATTTGCAGCAGGTGTAAAGGCTTTGGGGTTGGGGAACAAAAAAACATGCATGCAGCTTCTGTGAGACACAGACAGAGCCATTGCTCTGCACCTTGGCAAGGCTTCTCAGTCACTGAAATTCATGTGAGTATTATACAGTGGCATGGCACCACCCAATCATTCATTATTTCACCAAGTGTTCTGTCCACATATGCAGCTCATCATGTAAAAGTTGCAAGTTTGATTAAAACATTGGTTATAACATTAACCCATCCCTAACCCATCCCACAGAAACAGGGCTTTGAGAGGTAGAAAATGTGGATCCAAAGCAGCAGGACTCTGGGCGTATTTTAAAGATGGACTTACAAGGAGCTGTTGCCTGCTAGGAAAAATGGTGAGGAAAAAAAAAAAAAAAGGAGTCCAGCATGTATGAAAGGTCCGTGTTGTGAGCAAATGTGTGCTTGAAGCAGTCAGCAGCTATGTAGGGTCCTGTGGTAAACAGATGAGGATCTTTGTTTATGGAACTTTCAGTGGGTGTCAGGGGCTCAGTTTCTCTCTGCTAAGTGGGAAAGCTCCGTGCATTTCCACAGACCAGGTGGTAGGTGAAAGGACGAGGTAGGATTTAAAGGCAAATTAGGGATTGCAAAGAGTGTGGAAGAGTTTCTGGAATCACTCAGGGTATTCACAGAGAGGGAGCAGGGAACATACAGTGCCTGAGTACAGGGAGAAGAGAGGCAGAGAAAGAGCAGACTGGGCAGTGGGGAGGAGCGGGGCAAGGCCAGGGCAAGGGAGCATCTCACAGTGGTGGCCCTTACACTGTTATGAGCATCATGAAGTAACGCGAGCACTGCTGAGGTCGTGGTTAGCTTCTTGGACAACTTGGTTTCATAGCCACCTGAGAACTTGCCTGCAGAACCACTAGCTGAGATGGTTTCACGAAGCCACCCCTTCCTTACTTCCCTGTGAGGAGATGCATAGTGTCCAAGTGCTGTGCTCTGGTTCTGATTGCTGCCACACAGGAGTGCAGAGTGCCGGTGAAATACAGATGACCATTTCAAAGGCAGCAACATGAAGACTGGGATTTTCAGGACAAATAAGACTTTTTTTCCCCACAGAATAGGCATCTAGGAAGAGATCCTAGAAGCAAGAGAAGTGTGGCCGAGGAGCGTAAAGTAGATAGGGACCAGTAATGAAGGACTGAACCACCATCATGGAAAAATTTATCAAACATCCCTGTTCAGGGAAAAATTACTAAAACTGGGTTCTAGCATCTTTGCTTCTGCATGTTCAATGATCTGAATATGGTCTTTTCTATAAGAAGAAGGGGCTTTGGTAAATAATGTCAGGTTTATTCAGTGGTAGAATTTGTAGATGCTGGGGTCTTTCATTGAGCACACTGTGTTTTTCAGGTATCTGTGTGCTCAAGGGAATCATGTGATATCCTGAGAAAGGAAGTTGTTACCAAAAGAGCAAGATTGCCTTCCCATTTTCTCCAACTTTATGCCTTGCCATGTAGTTACCATTTTATCTCACAGATTCAGTTTCTACTCTTCTACCACGATGCATTGTAGCCTAGGGACCCTCACCATACCCAAATCTGATGAAATGATTCAGTCCTTGGTTCCCAGGCACCCAAAAACTGATCTAAAAAAATCTAATTTCCTTGTTATTGACAAATTTCAAATGCACTGCTATAGAGCTGCTCAAAACACAAACCAACGTGCAAAGAGGAACGTCCACAAACCCTACCTGAAGAATCCCCAGATGCTCAGGCGGTACTGAATGACCACCACCACCACATTTTCATGGGCAGAGAGGGCCAGTCCATCATAGGTTGATGCACCACCCACTACCAGTCCTCCTCCATGGATCCACACCATCACCTAGGTAGCAAGAAAAGAACCATACTTGTCATAGAAATTGAATTGTGAAGGGGCTCAGATGTTTGATTTGTTTTTGTGGCCTGGTCCTGACTCAGGGCATCACCACTCGAATTTCACCAGTGCCAACTTGGTTACAGAATAATATTGTACATCTGCCTCAACTTGATTCACTAGAAGACAGGATGACACCTTGTTTAATGTCCCTACCTTTTTCTTTAGACCAGTGTGCCAAGTCTCCCCAGGGCTGCTCTAACTGAGAACATTATCATGGGGACAACAGAGGACAAAGATGTCATCTTTTTCCCAGCATGCTGACATTCTGATACTTGGTCCATTCAGGCAGTTGAGTCTTTTTGGCTTCATTTCTGTTAACCATGATGTGCCTATACACTCATTCCCAGACCCCCAGTTAGTGCCCTGTCCTGTCACTTGAGTGCACTACCTTTCTACCACAATCCTCTACATCTTGCTAACCCCACTCTCCATCAGATCTTCAGCCATCTAACAATTAAGAGGATATACTCTACAACAGATTCTTTTATATAGCTTCAGACTGAGGGGGGATACAATAACTATTAATTTAAGGATTTAAAGAGCTCACATTCCACTGAACTGAGAGAAAAGAAAGTTGAAATCTTATACAACACTGCTAATAATCAGGAAAGAGAAAACAAGGATAATCATAGCACAGTAAAATGATTATTTTCTATAATGTAGAAACAAAGATTGTCCCATTTGATAATAGAAACACTGAGGCACCTCTGCTGGGATCCCACAGCAAATGAAAGGTGGAGGTAGTACTTGAGCAGCCACCTGGCCCAGCTCACAGCTGAGCTGATAACCAGTGCAGTCCCTGGTCATGGCTCAATGGTCTGGGCCAGAATCCAGGCCCTCCCACAGCTCTGACAAGTGTCAGTGCTGCTGTGTCCTCCACTAGGGCTCAGGTACAGCTCAGCAGCCACTATGGACAGTTTACAACATGTGAGGGAAAAAGAGGCTAGGAAGGAAGTCATCCCTGCTCTTTCAGCAAATGGAAGCAGACCCAGACTCTATGCCAAGATCCCATGTGTGCATACATAGCTGGGCAGTCCTTTGCTTTCCAAGCTCCACAAGTTTCCATTTTTCTTCCCCTTGGGGTCTCTACCACTTACATAGAGGGTCTCAGTTAAGCTCATCTTACAGACTGAGCCTGAAGGATGGCCAATGGTCCATTGAAACTTTTATCCCAGGTTTCTGTGCAGACCAGATGACAAGGTCCTTGAAGGCAAGGCTATGCATAATGGTTCCTGTCCTTGCTTCTCCTGAACTCAAGTCTTGCTGTGTAGACACTGAGTCCAAAATAGAAGCTGAATAAATGAGTGGGAGTGAGATTTGTTCTCACCTCCTCTTGCAATGCAAATATGTTTAGAGTCAAATTCTATTCTGATCTGTTCTGATCTACGTGTGGTCTGTAACTGGCAGCATGCCCACTCCTGCTTCTTCATTTCAATGGGAAATGCTGACTCACTAGGCCATCAGCACATGCCAAAGGCAGCCAGGGAGGGAAGGAGCTACAATAAAATCACAGGTGTTTGGCAAAGGGCATGAAAATTGCTTATGAGATTGCCCCAGACTCCTCCTTCCACAGCCATCATGGGCTATGAGAGTTTCCACCTGACAGTTGTCACAGGTATTGGGGGAGAAAGGCAGCACACATCCCCCTTGCCAGCCACTACCTAGGAACACAGGTATAAAGACTAAAGACAGAAGACACGGCTCTTGTCCTGTGATCCCTCTGTGCACTCTCCCTTCCCTATCTGAGCCTCATGATCTATCTGTATAGAAAGGCTTGGGCTGTTCATTTTTCTCTAGCATTCCTTCCGGTACTAATATCATTGTAAGTCGTTTCTTACCTTTTCCGAAGATATATTTAATATAACAACTAATAGCAATCATTTTGAGAATCTTTTATTTGTGTGAGCGAATGTAAAAAACTTAAGCTGTGCATTCCAGATGTATAGCAATTCCACCAAAATCAGGATCTTTGGGAGAAATGAAGTGATGTATTAACATTTGCTGTGATGAAAGGGAGCTCTTGATCCCTGACCCAGTCCTGGATTGTCTAACCATGCATCTAGCTGCAAGCATCCCCTTCCAGTCCCACTGAAGACCTGGATGCTGTAGCACAAGGGACTAGACCAGGGGCCCCCATGCTTACTGGCAACTTGCTGCTCTTTGTCAAGTCAGCAGGAGTGTAAATATTCAGGTAGAGACAGTCTTCAGAAAACTCCAGATGGATTTTCTCCTTTCTGTTAGTTAGGAAGTCATTGGTCCTCTGCCCTCTCACTGCATCTTGGGAGCACCTGGAGAAGACAGTGGACACCTGAAATTCCAACATATAGAAGCTGGAAATGTCACCTGGATCTCTACCTTGTACCAAGATGTTTGAGCTAGTAAAAGGAGCTGCTTTCACAGGAGTAGAATCTGGTGTAATTAATAAGAGGGATTTATGGGAAAATAGTAGGAACCCCGAGATCCCAAACCCATTAAATACCTGGCATCTTCCCCCTTCCTGAAGCCTTTGGTACATTCTGGGCAATGGGGAGATGTTCACAGTCTGAACTACCTGGGATATGATAATCTCAACAGTGTCTGCCCTTGTCTAAAACTAGTGCAGCGGGCTAAGGGGTGACCCTGATCTTTCATTAAGTGACCTTCTTCTAGCCTCTCTGAGACATCTGTCAATCCAAGAACTTCCACTAATAACTGTTTAGCCTGTTGCAAGTTATGGGTGATGTCTTTATGGGATGATCTCAATGACCTGCATTCTAGTAGTTAGTCACTGATACACTGGACAATATTGGCTAAGTACCTTTCCTGCTTTGTGCAGAAATGTTCCGGGTCCAAGTAAAGCCAATGCTATCTCTAAAGACCTCTGTCAGCCTCTTAGAAAAGAATAACTGTTGGCTTCCCTAATGAGAGATCATGAAAGACCAGTACAGAATAGAAATGGAATTTGTGGGAATTGCTGACTCATCTTGGAACCCAGACACTGGTTTATTTTTTTTTTCAAAATGTAACCGTGCAATCAACAGCTTAATACATGACAGTTAGGATCAAAATTTCAATTAATTAATATAGGACCTCAAATTTCCAGATGTAAGCAATAATAATAATAAAAACAGGCTCACATAACAATTGTGGCCTGGTTTGATTGACAGATATCTGTGAGGTTGTTTTTCTGTCGGACTTGTTAATTTGATTTCTACCAAAAGAGCCAGTATGTTCTTGCCCCTGTTAGGCAGTCACTGTATGAAATGTGCATGAGGTTTAAACATGCAGCCCTTCTTTTCTGCTCTTGTTGCTCCTTTGCTTGTTCTTCTGGTTAGTGGTGTCCCTCTCTGATGCTCTCCCAGCTGCCTCATGAGCCCAAAGCAGGCAATATGACTGATTTCTCTTTTTCTTTCTTTTATTTTTTGGCTTCTTTTCTTTATTATTAGTTTAGTTTTTTTCATTCCAATCCCAGGTCCTCCTTCCTCCTCTCCTTGTGCTCTTCTTCTCCCCACCTCCCATCTGCTCCTTGTAGAGGGTAAGATCTCCCATAGGAAGAGTACTAAGTCTGTTTCATCACCTCATTGTGGCAGGACCAAGGCACCTCCCTTTACCCCACATACCACTGTGTCTAGGCTGGGCAAGGTATATAGAATAGACACCACTAAGTCAGTTTGTGCATTAGTGTTAGACCTTGGACCCACTGCCAGTGGCCTCATATATTCTAATTCGGTCATAATGCTGGTTCCCCATTTGTGAGACCTGAGTCAGTGATCTCTTACTAGCTCATGTTAGCTGTTTCTGTGGGTTTCCCCATCATGGTCTTGACTCATCTGTTCATATTATCACTCCTCCCTCACTTTGATTGTACTCCAGGAGATTTGCCCAAAGGTTAGTTGTGTATTATTGCATCTGCTTCCATCTATTTCTGGAAGAGGATTCTAGCTTCTCTGGGGTTGGAGATTGTAGGCTGGTTATCTTTTTATGTTATGTCTGGTATCCACTTATGAGTGAGTACATACTATACTTGTCTTTCTGGTTTTGGATTACCTCATTCAGGATGGGGTTTTTTTATTTTTTCTAGTTTTATCTACTTGCCTGCGAATTTTAGGGTGTTCATACCTCTGAGTAGTACTCCATTGTGTAAATATAGCACATTTTCTTTATCCACTCTACAGTTGAGGGGCATCTAGGTTCAGACTCTGGTTTTAATTTCTCTCATATACCAACTTTGGATTAGTACTTCTTATGCTCAGTTCTATTTATACTGTCAGTTTAAAGAGGGTAATAAGCAGATCATCTAGAGAAGAATGAAAAGTCAGTAATGCTTCTAAAGTAATCTTGAGGACTCCAGAAGGCCATTGGACCAGTGGTTGACTCTACATGCATCACTCTAAGACATATGCTTTCACTGAAGGAGGCCCATGCCCACCCCAGTGGCTTACATAGGCTTACATATGGCTTACATAGGAGGGTAAGAGGTGGCATTCTTCACAAAGTTCCAGGACTCTGCAGGCTGTGGTGGAGCAAACCTCAGGGATCCAAGAGGAGGCTTGGCAAAGGGGACTCCGAGGAAGACGGCCACAGGCTGTGAGAATCCTTCTAAGCTGACGTACTTCCCCAGGACTTTGCCATAAACAGTGTTCACCATGGGTAATGAGGACGGGTGCCCTGTGGAACATGGAGAAAATGAGAACACATCAGAGGGAAAGATCAGACCTGGATTCCATGTGAGTTTTCCTGTTTTCTAAGTACATGACCTTGAATAAGTTACCCAAATACTTATGGGTCTCATTTGTTTCTAGACTGAAATTAAGGTGTGGAACACTTACTCAGAGGGTTGATTCAAAATCAAGCTGGAGTGTGAGGTAGAAAAGCATCCAGGCAAAGTCACAGTGAAAGGGGAACTGCTAGGACAGACAGAACCGATGGTTTCCTTCTGAGACACCTATATCCATTAGGTTCCTGGTGCTGAGTGCATGCTGAGTAGAGGAAGAACTAGTGGCCCCTTGTCTCAGGAAGGTGGCCTTACTGGAAAACAGACATGCTCAACTTGATGCTAGAGATAAAAAAATGTTCCAAAAAGTGAAAGATTTATATGATCTGAATAGAAAACAGAGTCAGGGGAGGAATAGAATAAAGGAGAGAGAGAGACAGAGAGATACCATAAAAGAGAGAGCCATTATAGGTTTGAACAGAAAACTGACTTTAGAGGAAAGTCCAGAGACCTACGAGACTGACCCCAACTAACAATTTGAGCAACAGTAGAAAGGCTACCATAAATGCTCTTCCCTGATAATGAGATTGATGACTAACTTATCCAGCATCATAGAGCCCTCATCTAGTAGCTGATGGAAGCAGAAGCAGACACCTACAACTAAACACTGAGCAGAACTGGAATCCAGATGCAGAGAGGGAGGACAAGATCAGGTTGCAGAAACACATAGAGACAGCTGACCTAAACAAGGAGGAGCTAATGGGCCCCCAGACAGATAGCTGGGAATCCAGCATTAAACCGACTCAGACTCCCTGAACATGGGTCTCACTTAGAAGGCCTGGCAGTCTAAGGGACCTCTGACAGTGGAACCAGGATGGATCACTGGTGCATAAAAGGACTTTGGGAGCATGTTCCCCATGGAGGGATACTCCCTTAACCTAGAGGCAGGAGGGAGTCCCTACTCCAAATGACTTGACAGATTTAGATGACCCCTCCTGTAAGGCATAACCCTACATGTGAAGTGGGTGGGAAATGGCAGGGGAGGGTGTCAGGGGGCATGGGAAGGTGGGGAAAAGGAAGAGAGGGAGGGAGGGGGAGAGGGAACTGGGATTGGTATGTAAAATAAGAAAAATTAAAAAAAAAGAACTGAAAAAAAAAAAAAGAAATGTTTCAAAAGAAGAGCTAGGCAGGGGCTAGAGAGGTTGGAAGAAATGAGGTCTTCTGAGTGGTGACATCATTCATGAATTGTTGACATTCAGCAGGAGGGATGACTAAGGATTATGGAGATGCAGAGTGATTAAGCAGCCAGCAAAAGGAAGAAGTCCAGAAAGTGCAGCACAGACCTTGGATCGTAATGATGAATGGTCCATTGATGCCCAGGTGGAGTCCATGGAGAGAAGACAATCCTTAGAGTCCAGTGTGTTGGGGAGGGCACTGGGCACCTGGCTAAATGACTAGAGTTCACATGGTGGGCAATTACATAACAGAAGCCTTTCTGGCACTGTGAAGACGATGATCTAAAGGACTCTGGTCTGTCTGTGTGGCATCCTCCCAGGGGAGAAGAAGCTGAGTCAGTGCCCTGTCTGATGCTTTGGCTCCGTTCTCATCTCCCTGCAGTTTCCTCATCTGTCCTCCTTCTGTGGGATCAGAGAGAACCACCCGGGTCCTCCATAAACCTCAGGAGGACATGCATGCATTTAATCACCACCAATTCTGGTGTCTCCTTGTTTGGTTAACAGCCTACTTCTCAGAGCATCACCCGTAACGCATACTTTTTATCTTCTGATCCTCATTCTTCCCTTCCAGCTGCAGAGAGTATATCAACTCCTCCCTCAAGAGAGAAATTGAGAGAGAGAAAGAACATGAAGGTGGGTGGGTAGGAAGGTGGGGGAGAGCTGAGAGCAGCTTGAAAAGATTAAAAATAAAGATGAATACTGTATAAATTTAAATATAATAATAATGTGTAGTCAGAAAAGAAAATTCCAGGTTTTTCTCAGCAAGTTTTTATGGGAACCAAGCTCACAAAATAGTATCTATAAGACATGATCTCAATAACGAGTTCCATAATATGGGCATCTGGTTGGTTTTTTTTTTTTTAATCTCTGCTGCTATTTATTATAAGCAAAAGCAAGGGAAATTCTGTGCCAACTTATGATGTTTTGACTTAATAACACTGGATTAATGATGTGTGTTTTACTTCAGATTCATTAAATTATCAGAGTGTGACCTCATCCGAAGTTTAAGAAGAGCTTTATAGAGACAGCCATTAATATTGGACACTCTTGGGAAATTCTGGCTACAAGCTTAGGGCAAAGCCTAGTGCCATTAGTAGTCAATCCCATGCTTGTCTCCTTTTGTCATTGCTGTTAATAATTACTATTTTGTTTAACTTTTAACTTTTAGTATACCACTGAAACAGACTTCCTGGGATCTTGGATATGAGGCGATCCATAGTTGGCAACATGGCTTGATGAATTCTTTCTAAGTAAGTATTGATAAACCATTTAACTTGGAGGCATCCTGTGTGAACCTCTTAAAGATGGAAAGAGTAGCATTGTCAGGGTAACCAGTAGCAAAAATGATCTACTCCATGTCTGGGTCGTTCATTACTGTTTTCCACTCAGTTCCAGGCCTCTCTCAGTGTCACATGTCCAGACAGGGTGAGGCTTTTAGGCCACTGGTTGCTGAGCACTGACTCTGGACTCAGGATCTAGAGACAGCCTAGGACCCGATTTTCCAGGCAAACTTGCAAGAACACACATCCCTTTGAGCCCCTTTTCTCAGTCAGTAAAATGCCAAAGATACATGTTAAAATCTATGTTATAATCACACAGTAACCATTTTATGTCTCATGTTTATGAGACCATCATGTCCTGTGGGAACTGTCACTCTAAGGGTCTGTCCATTGCAGTCACAATCCTAAGTACTTGCTTTACTCAGATTTGGTAGTGTGGACTACTGTCTACCCGTCCACCATTCACCTGCCCTCACCACCCAGAGCCTGGTACCAGACAGCTAAGATGAGCACTGTTCTCTAGCATCTCTTGAAATGCTAACAAAAGAGGCACTGGCTGCAGAGTCTCCAGCCTTGTGCCTCCTCACTGACCTGGCAATTCCTGTGTCCCCTCTCCAGTTCTATGTTACTCCTCCTGGGAACAATTAATAACAATGTGTCTTTTCAGTGACTGATGTATTATCTTGACCATAACTCATATTTTCTATTTATATATCATACTTCTGTATTAATAGAGGATATGCATGGAAGACCCACCACATACAGAGGCATGAAGGAGAGACCTACTGCAAATGTGCATCTCCTTAAGAAGTTTAGGAATGAAGCCACCTAATCCTCTCTGCGGTCCAGTGAAGAAAGGAAATCTATTCCACCTGATTGGAGTTATGCACAAACTCTGTGTTGGAGTTGGCTCCTTGTCATTCTGTACCTTCTTTACAGTGTGCTGCTGGGTCTCAGGGATTTTATCCTCTCCCAATCTCAGTGTGTTCTGTGCTGTGGTTTGGGCCACTTCAAGGCAAGCCCAAGTCAGGAGAGTGAATTCCCATGGAGAACTGAATAGGTCTGTCTTGTTTTTGCTCTATGCACAACTCTGCAAATATTTTTAAAACGTGTCCCCACAAATTCTTATTTCGAAAGTACTCACCCCAAACCACGAAGGTTGCTTGCAATACCAACAACAGAACTCGGAGACACATCCTTCAGAGACAGGCTCCCAGGTCAACGGAGTTTCTGATTCTGACCTGCAAGGAAGGGGAGTGAAAGGTCCTGCCCACATGCTGGGATCCTGCCAGGAAATCCTGCCCACAAAGCTCAGTTACACAATGCAGACCAACAGAAAAACTCTCTTGGTAATAGTCACTTCCGGCCCCGTGACATCTCAAACTCAAGCTTAAAGCTTTGGTGGGTGGATGGGGGTGGAGGGTTATAACACGATGAAAAGTTTTGGGAACCCTCAGAGGTCAACAGCTACTCACCAAGATCTGAGCTCATCTCTGAGCTTCTCTTTCCTAGACTTTGGGCTCTTATGTTTGGTATTGAGATCAAGTTTCATCAAGCCTCCTTAGAGAAGACTAGATTAGTTGAGTAGCAGACTTGTGAATGGCCCTGATTGAGGTCACCTACAACCAAAGTTGCTCACTTGCTTCAGGGCTGAGATTTAGGGATAGAATGTTCTTACAGTAGATGAACTCCATTTCACCAAAATCCAAATCTTTCTTTCTTCCTTCCTTCCTTTCTTTCTTTCTTTCCTTCTTTCTTTCTTTCTTTCATTCGTTCATTCTTTCTTTTTTCCCACCTTTACATCCTTCCATTCACGCATACTTTGAACATTTATCAAACCAGATGTGAGGACAGGGAGAGACTGGCATGCATGTGAGAGCTCCATATCATGAGGTTACTCTGTGGAGATGAAGGGAGCTTCTGGTTTCCCCTTCATAGGGCCACCAAATGCCTTAGGGCAGTGCTTCAGTTGAATACAGCCTGGTACAGCTGGCTAAGCAAATGCCATATCCTTACTCAAGGTGGCTATGAGCATCACTGTGTAGTAACATGGAAATACAGAGTCATGTTCTGGAGAGGAAAACACAAGTAATAGATTATCATGTAGTTTAAAGGCTAATTTCTCTAATAGCTAAGAAGACAGTTCCTATGTGGCACAAAAATTCCAGTTCTATTAACACACCTTCAATAACGAAAACAATGAGCTGTACAAAAATGTCTATAAAACAGCACTTATTTAATATTTAAAAGAGTAGGAAGGAACAACCCAAAAGTTCATGAGCTAAAAAATGAATAAACTGATAGTCTGTCCCTCACTGAATACTGTTTGTGAAAACAACATCCTATCGTGTAGACAAAAATTGAAACTATGAAAAATAAAATAAGCCAGTCACAAAACTAGGCCTTCTGGTCCCAGTTGTATGGAGTTTTCAGAACAAGAAGATGAAAAATGACGGCAGTTTAGAGGAAAAGTGTGTGAAGAGGAAGCAGAGGAGTGATGGTGGCTCCAACATTATCTTCTAAGAGGTTCAGTGTGGCTGGATTTATGTTAAGGTCTTTGGTCCATTTGGACTTGAGTTTTGTGCGTGGCAATAGACATGAGTCTATCTGCAGTCTTCTATAAACCATCATCCAATTGTGCCAGTACCATTTGTTGAGGATGCTTTCCTCCCCACATTGTATACTTTTAGATGTTTTGTCAAAATCAGGTGTTCCTAGATGTTTGTTTTAATATCAGGAATTTCAATTTGATTCCATTGGTCTACTTATCTATTCTTGTGCCAATACCAGGCTGTTTTCAGGACTATATCTCTGTAGTAGAGCTTAAAGTCAGGGATGGTGATGCCTCCTGAAGTTTCTTTATTGTACATGGTTGTCTGGGCTTTCCTGTGTCTTTTATTTTTCCATATAAAGTTGATTATTATCCTTTCAAGGTCAGTGAAGAATTGTGCTGGGATTTTAATGGGGATTGCATTGAATATGTGGAATGCTTTTGGCAAGATTGCCATTTTTACTACATTTATCCTACCTATCCAAGAGCATGGGAGATCTTTCCATTTTCTGATAGCTTCTTTCATTTCTTTAAAGACACAAAGTTCTTATTGTATAGATCTTTCACTTGTTTGGTAAGCTTTACCCCAAGATACTTTATGTTGTGTGTGGCTATTGTAAAGGGTGATGCTTCTCTGATTTCTATCTCAACCCCATTGTCGTCTGAATAAAGTAGGGCTACTGATTTTTTTTTTTTTTTTTTTTTTTTTTTTTTTTTTAGTTTATCTTGTATCCTGGTAGTTTGCTGAAGGTGTTTATCAGCTGTAGGAGTTCTCTGGTAAAGTTGTTTGGGTCACTTATGTAAACTATCAAATAGAGAAAGTTTGACTTCTTCCTTTCCAATTTGGATACCCTTGATCTCCTTTTGTTGTCTTATTGCTTTAGCTAGAACTTCAAGTACAATATTGAAGAGATATGGAGAGAGAGGGCAGCCTTGTCTTGTTTCTGATTTTAGAGAAATCACCTTAAGCTTCTTTCCATTCAGTTTGATGTTAGCTGTTGGCTTACTGTATATTGCTCTTATTATGTTTAGGTATGTTCCTGTTATCCCTGATCTCTCCAAGACCTTCATCATGAAAGTGTGTTGAATTTTGTCGAAGGCTTTTTCAGCATCTAGGGAGATGATAATGTGGTTTTTCTTTTTCAGTTTCTTTATATGGTGGATCACATTGATAGCTTTTCCTATGTTAAACCATCTCTGCAACCCAGGGATGAAGCCTACTTGGTCATGGTGGATGAGTTCTCTGATGTATTATTGGATTCGGTTTGCCAGTATTTTATTGAGTATTTTTGCATCAGTGTTCATGACAGATATTGGTCTGTAGTTTTCTTTCTTAGTTGAGTGTTTGTGTGGCTTGGGTACCAAGGTGATTGTGGACTCGTAAAAAGAGTTTTGTAATGAACCCTCTGTTTCTATTGTGTGGAACAATTTGAAAAGTGTTGGTATTAGCTCTTCCTTGAATTTCTGGTAGAATTCTGCACTGAAGCCATCTGGTCCTGGGCTTTTTTTTTTTTTTTTTTTTTTTTTTTGGAAGACTTTCAATGACTGCTTCTATTTCGTTAGGCATTATAGGTGTATTTAAGTTGTCTGTTATTGGTTTGATTTTGGTAAGTGATAGTTATGTAGAAATCTGTTCATTTCCTTTGAATCTTCAAATTTTGTAGAGTACAGGTTTTCAAAGTATGACCTGAAAATTGTCTGGATTTCTTCAGTGTCTGTTGTTATGTCCCCCTTTGTGTTTCTGATTTTGTTAATTTGCATGTTCTCTCTCTGCTTTTTGGTTAGTTGGGATAAAGGTTTGTTTATCTTGTTGAATTTCTGGAAAAAGCAAATGTTTGTTGCATTGATTATTTGTATTGTTTTCCTGGTTTCTGTTTTATTGATTTCAGCACTCAAATTGATTGATTTCCTGGCATCTACTCCTCCTCCAGGGTGAGTTTGCTTCTTTTTGTTCTAAGGCTTTCAGTTGTGCTGTTAATTCTCTAATGTGAGTATCCTCTGTTTCCTTCATATGGACACATAATGCAATGAACTTCCCTCGTAACACTGCTTTAAAGGTGTCCCATAAGTTTGGGCATGTTGTGTCCTCATTCTCGTTGAATTTTAAGAAGTCCTTAATTTCTTTCTTTATTTCTTCTTTGACCCAGGAATGGTGCAATTGCACATTGTTCTGTTTCCATGAGTTTGTAGGGTTTCTGCAATTTGTGTTGTTGAATTCCAATTTTAAAGAATGGTGGTCTGATAAGATACAGGGGACTATTCCTTTTTTTTTTTTTTGTATCTGTTGAAGTTTGTTATGTCACCTAGTATGTGGTCGATTTTAGAGAAGGTTTCATGTGGAGCAGAGAAGAAGTTATATTCTTTTGTGTTTGGATGGAATGTTCTATAGATGTCTGTTAAATCCAACTGACACATAACTTCTGTTAGTTCTTTTGTTTCTTTGTTAAGTTTCTGACTGGTGGTCCTGTCTAGTGGTGAGAGTGGCGTCTTGAAATCTCCCACTGTAAGTGTGTGAGGTTTTATGTGAGCTTTGAGTTTTAGTAGTGTCTCTTTTACGAATGTGGATGCCTTTGTATTGGGGGCATAGATGTTCAGAATTGAAACTTTGTGCTGATGGTTTTTTTCCTGCGATGAATACGAAATGACCATCTTCACCTCTTTGATTAATTTTGGTTTGAAGTCTAACTTGTTAGATATTAGGAGACCTGCTTGTTTCTTGGGTCCATTTGATTGGAAGATCTTTTCCCAACTCTTTACCCTGAGGTAATGTCTATCTTTGAAGCTTAGATGTGTTTCATGTATTCAGCAGAAGGATGATGATAATTTTTAAGTCGTGTTCAGGTCTAGTTGGTGTAGAGTCCCTAGATTCTGGTAGTGTTATGCTTGTCTTTCTATTCTTAGGTATTTTCTTGTATTGCCTTCTTCCCATTGCTTCTTCCAGTAGGTGTAGGTGGGGTCTCTCTCTCTCTTTCTCTCTCTCTCTCTCTCTCTCTCTCTCTCTCTCTCTCTCTCTCTCTCTCTCTCTCTCTCGTACTCCCCAGTTGGGCTTAGGAGGGACAGAGGTTCAATGTCTGTAGCTTTGTATGGTCCAAGCTCTCTAGGAGGTCTCTCCTCAGGCTGAGGTCGGACTATGGGGGTCAAAGATCAGGCTCTATCAGTAGACTAGCAATGGGGGTCAAAGATCCTGAAGGCTGGAACTCAGTAAGTTCCAAGCTCCGATAGGCTGATAGGCAGATCTAGCCTGGGCCTGGCACTCTCCAGCTGTGGCCTCTTTAGCAGAAGCTGGGTGATGAGGGTCAAGGATCCAGCCTGCAGGGGCTCAGGATGGCCCCAAGGGGATAGGCTGATCTCTGGGAAGGGCCAGGGTATCTCCAGTAGAGGACCAGCTGTGTGGGTCAGAGACCAGGCAGGTGTGGATTCCTGTTGGTCCTGCATGGATAGGCAGGACTAGTGTGCTCAGAACAGCTCCAGGAAGTTCCCTGAAGGTGGCAGGATTGTTGGCTCCACCATATGTCCCAGTGCTCAACCAGAGCAGTGGGATGGTGGGCAGGGTAGGGCACAGGGTAGAGGGAATGCAGGCTCTTGGTGGGGGTGAGTTGGTGTGTATCAGAGCACCAGGAGCGCTCTCGATGTGGACAGGACACAGGGGGAGCCAGATCCAGGGCCAATCCTGGGATTTCCCGTGGGGGGGGCATTCCAACCAAATTGGTCCCAGACTCACCTCTAGGAGAGGCCTGGCAATGGAGGTCAAAAAAAAAAAAGGTGTGTGCTTTCTATTTATTTAAAGTTTCTATTCTTATCCATCCTTATATTCCTTTGCTAAATATTTCTTGAGAGCTTGCAATTGCCAAACTATGATCCCAGTGTCTTGTATGCACTTAGAATAACCCAGTGATTCTCAATAGTGTGTCCTGAGGGTCAGTGTGGATGAGGGACTGGCCCTAGATCACTTCACATAAGACAACAAGCCAAGGCTGAACAAAACCTGTGGGGCTATGGATCTATAGTCTTGACCGCTGTGCCTTGATGCCAAAAGTACACTTATGACTTAACTGTGGGACATCAGGGGAAGCTTCCATCTCCTGGTAATTTATCTACCTTTCCTCAAATAGGTACCCACACAAGCCTTCCAACTGGCTTCTGCTGTGTTTTTCAGACCTCAAGGAAGGATGTAACGGAGTACCATATGGAGGGGTCAGGGAGTCAGATAGATGGCTTAAAGCCTTGGGATTCCAGCGAGAGACACTGGCTGGATAATGGAACACTGAAAGCTGATTTTTCTTCCAGTGCAGAGTCCTTTCTGGAAAAGCCCTGCTTATCCAGGAGTTAAGACCCAGGTCTCCTGGCATTTACCTGGAGACATGGATTTAGTTGTGCCTAATGGAGTAGAGTGACATTTGGAAGAAGGTTGTCCCCAAGCATTGTGCAGTATAGTGAAGAGCCAGGAGAGCTTTCTCCATACAGGACTTTCCTTACATCCTGCTAGAACCTGAAACTGTGAGCTGAAGAGACAAGGGAGATTACAAAGTGTCAGTACCCGAGTCCTCCGTAATCACTTGCCTGACAGCTACTCTGTAATTCAGAGTGTTTTGGGTTTCCCAGAACCAAGAAATTACTCTCTATTTTATACACACACACACATAAACACACACACACACACACACACACACACACACACACACACACACACTTATAGGCACAATTTATTTATATGTAGAATTTATTTGTTGAGAGTGTGTATGCGGTCTCTCTCTGTGTGTGTGTGTGTGTGTGTGTGTGTGTGTGTGTCTGTGTGTTTGTGTGTGTAACATATACATGTGTTTTGGAGTAGCCATTTCTGACAAGTACAGGTATAGTGCAAGTAGTTTTACACAGTAGCATAAGGGATTTTGTTAGTTTTGTCTCTAGTCTCTCACCTAAGCTGGAGTGCAAAAACACATCCCCACAGCTTCTTTCACAGATCTCAGAATGAGAATGGTAGTGTTGGTGCTATCAGTTACTGGCAGTCATCGTAGAACCATGCAACCCCAGTGCTCTTGTGTGAGTTCTGCCTGCCAGGACCTCCTGTCTACTCATGATGGAAAGCTTCCTGAAGCAGAACAAGTTCATCTACTGTCCTCTAATCCTGGTGTGACTCTTAGTAATTGACTAACTAGAGTAGTCAAAGAACTACCCTAACTTCTCTTTGTGGAGTAGCTTTGAGACACTCCTTTGCACTTTTTCCTTTGGCATTGACCCTGATCACGCACAGCACTAGCTCACTGAATAAGAAGGCCTTCACTGTCCATTTTCCTTCCTTTTCATTATTTATCACCAACCCTCTATCTCTCTAAATAAATTCCCACTGCAATGCTTGTCTCATTTTTTTAAATCAAGACAACCATTGTAAGATGAAGAACATATATCCCCAGATCAAATCACTATGTATCTGCTAAGAGTTGAGGTATTCGTAAACTCTCCTCAAACCTTCTAATGTGACTGTGTGATATATTAGTAAAATAAAGCCACTGTGGTGGATGCTAATCCAATCTGATTGATGTCCTCATGGAAGGAATCTAGGGCATTCAAAGTGATACCACTGGTAAGTGTGCATAGTGGACTCACCACATGTATAGGGGAATGAATTGGGGATCCTACAGAAAAGCATGAAAGAAGGTTTGAAAGAAAATTAACAATAGTGACAACATGAGCTTAGATGATCAGGCTCCATAAAACAAAATGAAAAAAATTAACAATCTGTATTAAGTAAGCCCTGCTTCCCACCAAGTCTGTATAGCTTGCTAAGGCAGTCCAGATTGAATAAAATACAAGCACAAGCCATTTTTTTAAAATAAATTTTTATTTAAATTAAAATTAAACTTATTTTATATAACAAAGTTATCATCTCTTGCATAGTGTGCTTATTTGTTTTACTAGCAGGACAGTCAATCATCCATCTACACCCTGTGGAGGTGGCATCTCATAATGCTGGATCTCAATCTCCATATATCCCTTTCTAATGCCCATAGATTCATCTTCAGAAAAAGACAAAGTCTTTGGTTTGATTTCCAGAGGAATAGTTTTTTGATGTTAAAAAATTGAGAGCAGTGACAAATGCCTTTAATCCCAGCAGAGACAGGCAGATCTCTATGAATTCAAGGCCAGCTTGATCTACAGAGTGAGTACCAGGACAGCTCCAAGACTACAGAGTAACCCTGTCTTGCAAAACAAAACAAAATTGAGAGCATAAAATTAAACATTTCTCTTATTACTTTTGTATAGTATGCTACACAATTGTTGTCTTTCCTTATTGTACAGCATGCCGCATGATTCTATGTTCTCAATAACAAGATGATTTATTTTGGCAACAACTTCTGTGGCATATCCCTTTTCTTGGATCCAGGCTCTCAAACATGTGCCTCCTGATCAAAGCTCAAAATGTTCCCTCTGGGTTGTTCTTTCTGCAGTTTTCTTGGCTCTGAGCTCAGTCCAAAAGGCAACTTTCTTGTCTTTAAGCCTATGGGATGACTGTGTTGGGACTCTAATCTGCAGATAACCCTTCCTTCTGTTTATACTGTGGACAATGGGGTAGCCCTTCCCCATTGGAATTCCTGTGAACAGAATAAAAAAGGAAAGTTCCAAATAAATTGTGCTGTCCCCATGGTTCTTGGAGATGTGCAAGGATGTCCTAGCTTATCAATGCCAAGAAACCATAACCATCCACAGATGGACAGGTCTCTGTCTCCTGGAAAGTTCTCTCTCTCTCTCTCTCTCTCTCTCTCTCTCTGTCTGTCTGTCTGTCTCTCTCCCTTTCTCATCTTGTTATGAGTTAGATATTACATTTTCTGCAAATCTTCATGTGTTACAGGTTGATAGTAATCTGGAAGCTAGTGGAATAGAGTGTGCAGCATACTTGGAAAAAAACATCATGAAGGCTTTGATTTCACTCTTCATATCATGGCCTCCTGATGGCTAAGAGACCAGAAGCCATTTTCTCCCAAGTGCTCCTACCATGATGCTCTGACTTACCACAAATGAAAAGTCCAAGGGAAACTCAGAGCTCAGGAAAACTTCCATTCTTTAAGATGATAAACATTAGGAATTTTGTCTAAGTGTTTGAAGGCAAACACCTAAAACTTTCTGAGGTGTGGATCACCCTGTGACTAAGCAGGTGTTTCAGTATGGAATACTTTTTAACAGTTTGTGAAGGAATTTGGAAGTTTGGAGTAAGGGCTCTATGAAACTCAGAATGGAGTTAGCAGGGGATTCTAGTAGGTTCTAAATGGAAAGAAGACATTGAAGCCAAGGATATAACATTTCAGATGGGAATGGGGCCTTTATGAGGAACTTGACTAGTGTTCATTCTATTTACATTTGTCCATGCCCCAAGCTTTTTTGATAGGGTGATTGATTTCAGAGATGGGGACTGTGAAACTGATGTACTTGATCAACAGTATCAGTTTCCCAGGCAATGTCAGGGTATTTTTTTTTTTATTTTGATTACATTTACAGGGAGATTTAAGGGGGAAAATCACAGCATAAAGACTTGAAAGATTTAGTTTTTCACAATAAACATCACTACCATAGGAAGATGCAAGTCTTCTAAAAGATAAAATAAAAAGATGAAGTTATCTGAGGATGTCTCAGGAATCTACAAGATGGGCCATCACAAGGTTATCACTTGTTTTAAGATATTGCGTGAGGTTATGTCATTAGGTATAACTTTGTCTACAGTAAAGTGTAAAGAATTGATTCTGTAGGGCTAATTTCCCTGTGTTCATATACCCAGAAGCTTTACAGCCAATGGCCCATGGTGCCTAACTACATCTCAAGTTACAGTTATATCTTGGCATTGTCCCATGACACTGGGTTTGCAGGCATGTGAAATGCAAGGTTTATGGGGTCATCAAGGTTGCTACCTAGATTTTGAATGAAAGCATGTGAGGCCATCAAGTGTGTGGTAGGAAACCTAAGAGCATGACACATGAAACTATGAGAATAAAGTGACATTTTGATGGAGACCCAAGTAAGTTAAAAATGCCAGGACTTGGAACATGTGCCTAGTAAACATCCAGGTCATGAGTAGATCAAGTTTGTCTTAGTCATTGTTCTATTGCTATAAAGAGACACCATGGCCAATCAACTCTTATGAAATTAAGTATTTAACTAGGGCCTTGTTTACAGTTTCAGAGATTTAGTCTATTATTGTGGCAGTAGTATGGCAGCATGCATAGAACCAGAATGGTAGCTGAAAAGCTACATCCTGATCCACATTTAGAGAGATTGGGTCTGGCATGGGCTTCAAAGACCTTGTTGAAGGAATGATACACTTCCCTCAATAAGACCACACCTCCAAATCCTTCTAATCCTAGCAAGAATCCCATTCCTTGGTGACTAAATACTCAGCTATATGAGCATATTTTATACCCATATGTTTTATTCATTTATACACAGAATCCAAGAGAGGCCTCAGAGGGTACAGGCAGCAAGGCCTTAGGAAAATGTACTTCCAAGCTTTTCAGAGCTCATGTATGTCAACAGATCCCTGGATATTCAAAAAGGAATTTAGGATTTAAATTCTATCTTTTGGATTCTGGACTTTCTTTGGTTTGATTTCTCATTGCTATTTCCATGTTCCTCCCTTAGAATAGGAATATTTGACATCTTGGAATTTGTTACTTCTTTATTTGAGTGGATTCTCATGGCAATGGTTTACCTGAGACTAGGAAGTCATTGGGTCTTGACATCAAAGCAATATTAAAAGTGGTAAGAAGTTGGGAATTTGTGGAGATGAGATTTTGATATGGATATGAGCTTCTAGTATCATAGGCAAGTTGTAATGTAGAAGTTAGTACTACCCACTCATGGATTGAAGCCTTGATCCCCACCTGATGGTGCCATTGGGACATGGCAGAAAAATAATAAAGAAGGACTTGTTGGAGGAGGCTGATCATGAGAGACTTGCCTCTGAGGATTGTGTTAGGATCCTGGTCCTTTTCCCCCTTCACAAGCAACAGGATATAAGGAACATTGACCTAACATATGCTCCCCACATGATGCTCTGTTCTGACACTAAAGTTAACAGACACAACAGTCAAAATGGAAACAACTTGGCCCGAGTCAAAGTTCACATTCTCAACTCAAGCTGAAGTATCACACAAATCTCATCACAACTACATACCAGATTAAGCTAGCTCTCATTGTTGGAATGTTATTACCACAAGGACAGAAGAAGGATGATTACTCAATCACTAGAAAATTACCCCTTCCTAATAGGTATGACCAACTGCACCATACCTTCAGGCCTGGCATCACTGCCACCAGACTTACCCATTCCGGGCAAAGTTGCCCCAGAATTTCATCACCATCTTGCTGAGATTGGTTTCTTCTTCTGAAGCACCCTCTGTGAGGAAAATAAATTTAAAAATTACCCACTTAAGATGCAGAAACATGGAGGAGGACCTAAGCCCTCCACCAAATGATGTGACAGACTTTGATGAACCCCATGAGAGGCCTCACTATCCTTGGGAGGTGGGTTGGGGGGCATGAGAAGGTGGGAGGGAGAGGGAAAGGGGGGGCTGATAGGTAAAGCAAGATTGTTTTTAATTTTTAAAAAAATTAAAAATAAAATTAAAAAAGAAGTAAAAACAGATTTAAAAAGATGTGGTTAATGATCATCAGCAGCAGAATCTAAACAGATTTAATAAATTTAGTCTTGTTTATGAACATATCAGCCTGAAGGGGTCTGATCTACCCTGATTTCTAAGGGACAAATGGGGTCAGGCCTGGTTAATATGTGAGGGGGAGAAATGCACCCTTAGCTTTATTGAATAGTCACTGAGCCAAAACCTGCCTTTAAAAAAGAGCTGGGTGAGTGTGTCCTCGATGTAAAGTTTAGAGGAATATTCCAGATGATCTCTGCATGTATCACTCATATTATCCTGCTTGACAACCATTCCCATTGGGGTCCAATGGCAACAAGACTCAGTTTCCTCATTTTTGCCACTAGTATTGCTGGCCCTTACGTCTATTTTCAATGTCCTACACATACAACTCTTTATAGAATCTGAAAACAGTGAAAACTGGAGATTCCTAGAGAAACTAGGGTGCCATGAATGATACGCCAGAGGTCATACATTATATACAATTGTTGAAAAAAAAGGTATTGAAGACCTTTGTGAAAGGATCGCTAAGTATCATATTATTAAGCTCATTTAAATGTATGCTATATATTAGATATCTAGATGGGTAGGAACATGCTAAGCCTTATTTAGGTTAAGAAAATTTTCTAACTCTTCTAATATTTATGGAAGTAAAATCAAATACTGACATTCTTGCCATAATGTAGGGCATGTGAATGACTTTCCAATTCTCTTATTTGTGTCACAGGTCAGGATTCTGAGAATGACTATGCCTAGGGTAACACAATCCCATCACATGTACTGAAGAAGCAGAAAGGCTGGGTATTGTTCCACAGCTGAGCCCTGTTACAGAGAGTCAGAAAGCCAGTCTTAAAGGAAAAACTTCCTCAAGGTCATAAAGCCAAAACCCAAACACAGGCATCAGATCACCAAGGGCACAATCAGAAAAGAGATATTACCTTTTAAAAACGGGGCTCCCCATACAGAGAAGAGATCATCACCATGGTCCCCTATCATAGTCTTGGGTCTCATGTCTGATACAAAGCTTGGGCGATACTGGAACTCATACATATAGGTGGGAGCTCCAGCATCTGAGGAGACATGGATTCATGCACAATTCATATTTACAGACACATACCTGGATGGTATCTAGGCCTTATGCCCTGTAGTTGAAACCACTCTTTAGTGGAATAGATTTAGGATGGCCCAGTGACTTGCTTAGGCTGCACAGCTGGTTGATGTTGACCTAGGACTTGAATAAGATACTTACTGAGTGAACAGTGAATGGATGCAGTGACTGCATGGGATGAGTGTCAGTCATGACACCTGTTTACTGATTCCAAGATCTATAGCCTCACAGTTGTCTTTCATCCAGCCTAGCTCTGGGCACTCCCAGGGTTTTTCTCAGCTCTTCAGATAAGAGTAAAGGAAATGATGACACATAAAGAAGAATCCATGCTGAGATGGAATGATTCCATAAAACTGGAGGTGCACAGTTCATCTCTAACTTCATTGTTAGCTGAGTACAAGTTCGTTTTTTAAAGATTTTTTTCCGGACATATTCAGATCAGTTTCCCCTCCTCCAACTCCTCCCTGATCCTCCCCACCAAGCCAAATGCACAGCATCTCTTTCTTCCTCTCATTAGAAAACGAGAAAAGAGTAGGACAGAACAAACAAATGAGCAGGAAAAAAGAAGAGCCAAAGAAAGCACAAGAAACACACACAGGCACAGAGACACTCACACACAGAAATTCCATAAAAACACAAAATTGGAAACTATAATATATAAGCAAAAATGCCCAGACAAAACATTATGTGGAAAAAAAGACCCTCCATAATTGTCTTTGTCGTCTGCCTGGACATCGGGCCTACCCTCAAGAGTTGATTGTATCCTGAGTGAGACTCTGTTGAACAAAACTACGTTTTCCTTTGAGACTGGTTATGAATTGGAGATAGCTTCTGGGCTAGAGAAGCAGTACTATGTCCACATGCCCTCGCAGCCCTGGACCTGGGAAGACCCTCTGCTGCCACAGACTCTGAGCTTACTAGTACATCAAATCTGTTGTATTTAGGAAGCCTTGTTTCCTTGGCAACCTCCATCCCTTCTGCCTCTTAGGATCTTTCTGCCTTCTCTTTAACAATTGTCCCTGATCCCTGAGGTGAGGGATTCAACAATAGTCATAATAGTGTAATAAATATCCACATATTAGACATAGTGGAAAAATTCAAAATGCTGAAATATGTGTTATTTTACCAGAAAATGTTCCTACTCTATTGCAGGATATATGTATGTATGTATGTATGTATGTATGTATGTATGTATGTATATGTATATTTACAACTACATATACACACATACACCTTTATACATTTATTATTCTCCTTCATCATACATGCGTTTGAGGGAATTTTGTGTACATTAAATACATTGTCATTACTTTAGACCATGAGATATCCATGCATAGGAGTGGATGATAACAACATGTTTTATCACAATATAGGATAAGGAATAATTTAATTAACTCACAACTCTATCACCATAGCTTTAGGCAATCCTGTGACTCTGCAATCCACCTATGAAACAGTGCTCCAAGGTCAAGTAGCACTTCCTAGAAAGACAGTTTAACCTTGCCCGTGTTGCACAGACATTTTAGAAAGGGGATTCTGATTGTAACTGTGCAGAGAACTTTTTGAATGAGAACATATTTTAGGAAGCATACAGCAGAAGATATTTGTAAACATTTTTGTTTGAAACAAATGCTTTTGCCTTTATTTTTATTAGTTCATCAAAAACTTGTGCAAAGTGTTTTGATCATACTCATTCCCACTTCTAATTGCTCCCAGACCTACTGCTCCTACCCACTCAATTTCCTTATTTTTTTTTTAACCAGTCAAATGAAATTTGTGCTTTCCAAATATTCTTGGATGCATGGCTTCCTCTAGAGCATGGCCGACTGGCAGTAGGCAGAAGAAAATGAATCACCACCCTAGAGCCCTGCATTCAGGAAATGAGCCTTCAAAATGAGCAGAAAATAGCAACTTTCCATGACAATCAAAAGCTACAGTCCTTGTTACCCCTGGTGCTGCCTTACATGAATGGCTAGAGAGTTCTTTAAGTTGAAACTTCAAGACAACATACATAACATGAAACATGTGACAGTCAGTGCTATAAAATGAATCACATGTGGCACACTTTAGGACTGTAGTGTAGACATGGATACAGTTTTACCCTACATAATACAAAGAGTCAACAGAAAATTATGCTAATGATTATAGCTGAGATAACCCCTCAAGTAGAGTTAAAATAAGCAGCCATCCATTGATATAAATTTTTACATAAAAGATATAAAGTGTGTGTTCATTAAAGGGTAGAGTCATAAAGTAATCATATTATCAGAGGAGATAGGGAGCATTCAGGATCTTATGGCCATTAACATTTATGTTATCAAAGTTACACTTTTACCAGCTTACTATAGGCTGTTAGAATTATACTAGGGGTAAATGAGATGGCTCAGGACTGAAGCCCTGAATTCAATTCCTAGAATTCCTATGATGGAACAAGAGAACTGACTGCCACTCTGACTTTCACTTTGACATGCTGGCATGGGTACATGGCAAACACACAAGCACAAAAGGAAATAACATACCTGTAAAAGTACAATGGTAGATGTAGAATTTATGGTAGACACAAAGCAAAAGTCTTCAGTAAATCCATAACCCCAAACTAAAGGCATACTCCTTCAGAAAAGTAGAAAACCACAAGGAAAGGTACCGAAAGAGGAAGACAAAATTATAAAAGAACTATAACAGAATTACCAAAGTAACAATAATTAAATCTTTGAAGAAAAATTATTTTCAATACAAATTATGAAATCAAGGAGATGGATTGAATGGATTTTTAAACATACAAGGTCCACAGGCTTATTATCTTAAAGCAAATGAAGTTTGGAAGAGAAGGGAGGGAAATGGATGGAATTTGAAGGGGAAGCTAAACAATAGGAATGGTAGCAGTGGTTACATTAGACCACACAGTCTGAGTTCAAAAACATAATGAGCTGGACATAATGAGGTGGCTCACCCCTGTACTCTAGGAACTTTGGAGGCTGAGTGAGAAGAATTACTAGGGACTAGAGAGCTGTCAAGAGATACTCAGTAGTTTCTAGGCCATTCTGAACTACAGTGTGAAGCCTTATCTCAGAAGAAACAGATAAAGACATCATGTTGATGACAGGGTCAAATCACCCATAGCACATAACAATGACAAATACAGACACAACATCAGGGCTCATAAGTTTATAGAACAAACAGTGGAGGCTGAGAAGGGGGAGACAGGGTGTAATGACTACCACAGTAAACTGCTCTACAATACACACATTTACAACAATGGACAGATCATTCAGAAAGAAAATTCACAAGCAGTGGGAGACTTGATAACATACTGAGGCAAAGAGACTAAGCACAAATATACAGAATTGTGTAGACTAAGTTTTTGTCAACAATAGTTTTGACACAAACTATAGTGACTTGAGCTGGTGAGGGCAACTATAAGGAAATCTAATAGCAATAAACACCTGATTAAGAGAGGAAAATTTTCAAACAACCTAAGAGTACACACCAAAGTTCAAAGAAAGCTCAAAGAAATAACAAAGTCAAAGATAAAGGGAGAAGTTTGATATTTTAAAAAATAAGGAAGTTAATCAATACTGATTTGGGTTTTTGTTTTTTAAAACAGGACAAAAGAAAAGAAACAAACAAACAAACAAACAAACAAAACACCCCAAAACCAAAGCAAGCAAACAAAAAGCACCCTAAACCGATAAACCTAGTAACCACAGAAGAGGGAAGATCTAAATCAATTTGAATACTCAAAACCAGTAATGAAAGAGGAAACACTACAATGGAGGCCACAGAGACAGAATCTGTCATAAGAAATTACTATAGACAAATACATGCATAAGAATAAGTAACTGAGTAGGAACAGAGGCTGTTAGGAGGACCCAAGCCTCCCTGGACCCTTGGGCAAGTGATAAATTGTTAAAATCTTTGTGATCACTGTTCCTGGTAAGGTCACATTCTATTTAGTTCTTTTGAAGGAGAACTTCCTGATGATAACTTTCTATAAATTAGCAAATATGGGAATTGATGGGAGCGTTCTACCCCTCCATTAGCTGAACTGAACTCTTACTGAACTGGAGGGTTGTCAGTCATCCAACTGGACTACATCAATGCCAGCAACAGACATCTTGTGCAATTCATATATACCTGGAGAAATCTACATAATGTTGGCAGTCACTTGACTATACTAATTTTACTAATTAGAACTAAATAATACTAAATTTAATCCAGGTGGTACTACCAGTGAATGCTTAAAAGTACAGCACATAGGTTAAAGAAAGTGAACACACAAATGTAAAAATGTACGCAAAGACATCTCCTGCTTTTGGTGTTAAAGATTGCATTTAAAATATCCAGAGTACTCACAGTGGTTTATTAGTTTAATAAACTATCAGCTCCAATTCCAGTGTATTTTGTCCTCATACAAAGGAGAGAAATTACCTAAAAATTGTGTCATCAAGATTATCATGAGCAAGAACAAAGCTGGAGCTAGCACACTGCCTGATTTTAAACTCCATTCTGAATCCATGGTTACTAAACAGTGTGGTAGTTGCTTTACCCATGTGCATACATCGAACAATGAGATATAATGAAGACCAGAACACAGACAGGTACTGACTGCTGTTTTACAAAGGTGGCAAGAATATAGAATAAGATAAAGCATTCTCTTCAGTCAATGATGTTGAGAAAACCAGATTTCTACATTCATAAATTAAGCTAAAATGGAGAAAAGACAAATATAAGTTCAGAAAGCCCCAATTACAAGTAGAAATCATAAAGGAAAACCAAAAATTCTTGCCACAGAAAAGAGTTGCTTAGATTTAGCACCAACATTATGAATAACAAGTGAAACAGACAAATGGGATAATATTAAACTAAACAATTCTTCACAGCAAAGAAACCAATAGCAGTGTGTGGAGACAGCCATTGGAAGAGAAAGCTATTTGAGATCTTTCTATATGGCATGTGTCTACTCAAAAATCATATGAGCAATTCAAATGATCAGTAGCAATAAGCAAATAAATAAAATCAAAATGAAAAAAAAAAAAAAAAAAAAAAAAAAAAAGGCCAGACGCCTGGAATACTAATTTGTAATGGGAGACATATATGTGGAAATAAACAGTAGATTCTTTCTTCAGGTCCCTGATATCAGTAGCCCTTGGAAGCTGGCTAGGTTTCCAGTACCAGGTATGAGTTCACTCCTGATGAGTGAGAGTTAAGTTCAGTTAGACAGTTTTTTGTTGTCATTGGTTGTTATTGACGTGTGAGTGCTACTTATGCACCTTTATGCATATCATTCGATGCTGCTAGTTTTCATGGTTCATAGATGGTTCAAGACAGAGTATCTGGGAGGAGATGGAGGGAGACTTGTAAGTATCCAACTTAAAATAATAATGAAGGTCTTTTCTCATGATCCAAATAGATTTCATCGAGAAGTGAAAATAGAAAATTGTAGGATACATGTAAAGAAAATGGAATCTTTTAAATACTGTCGTGATGAATGAAGAGTGATGTGGAGTTCCTAAGAGACTGAGAGCAAAGCCACAATATTGCCCAGCAGTGTCACTACTGGGTGTTTGCTTCCAATATCTGGGAAGAGATTTCTGAGATGCCTGTACCCTATGTTCACTGCAGCACCATGCACTATAATCACATTATGGAATCAACTGTGTCCATCAATATCAGAGGACAAGGAAAACACAGATGTGTAGACAGTGGAGTTGTGTTTAACCTTAAAAAGGAAACTGTTACTTTTACTGTGTGGGGTGAATGGGAGAGCATCAAGCATGTCAAATACTAGAGCATGGAAAGGTAAGTGCCCTTGAGCTGGGCTTGGGGAAGGGGGGGGACAGTAGGAGAAAGAGCAGGGAAGAAGGGGAGGGGGAGGAGAACATGAGGGATCAGTATGGTGGAATTGGGAGAGCAAGAAAAGAGATACTTTAATAGAGGGAGCCATTATGTGCTTAACAAGAAATCTGGCACTAGGGATATCTCCAGGGATACACAAGGATGACCCCAACTAAGAATCTAAGCAATAGAGTGGGGGGGGGCTACTTTAGATGCCCTTCCCCTATAATGATATTGATGACTGTGCTCATGTTTGCAATAGGCAACTATGTCATAAACCTACCAATCCCTGTGGAAGAGCCCTTAGCCAATAAGAGATGAGTATATACAGCTCTTTTGCTTCTGGGAGAGAAAAGCCTTAAGAAAACCCTAAGCTGCAACTATCTAAGTTGGTCACATGCTAGGCAATTCCCTAGGTTGGCCTCTCTTTTCTAAATGTTACTTCACCCCTCTATGGTTTTCTATCTCCTAGATTAAACTGCTCGTAAGCACTTTTTTCATAGGTTCCTACTGATACAAGTGAAACTAAAGATTATAGGTCATAGGGAACTGATGGGAGATGTCATTCTGTAAATATGTTTTTCTTATTGGTTAATGAATAAAGCACGGTTGGCCAATAGGAAAGCAAGATAGGTGGGACTAGGAGACTAGGAGGAGAGAGGAAGAAGGAGGTTGGAGATTCAAGATGGAAGACTGAGAGAGCAGAATGCTGGCCCATCTCTCTGGTAAGATGATACCATGTGGAAATACTTAGATTAACAGAAATGGGTTAATATTTAAGACAGAGCTAGCTGATAAAAAACAAGTAACTGGCCTACAGCATTATATCAAATACAGTGTCTCTGTGTGTTATTTGGGACAAACAAGGCGGAGAGCCCAGGCTGGCAGAAAAAACATACTCTTAACAGGGAACCAGACTTTGAGGCCTGAACTTCCACAGATTTGATAGCTTACTATTTCCAGAGGTAGGTGTTTCAGAGGCCTAAGTGGTGAGCCTGTATCCCCCTCCCATACAACACCAAGACTCACCTCTGTGGCCACGAGATACAGTCATAGATGGGACACCAAACATCACATCTCCCATTAAGTCCAGGAGAAGGTCTTTCTTTTTGATGGAGTCCTCTGTCCCTGATAAACATTTCTCAATGGCAGCTGGAATCAGACTCTCAGAGATGTTCTAAAATGGACCAGAAAGTGATGAGAGAAAAGTATTTCTGGGAAAGGGGATAAAGAAGCTCATGAGATTTGCTTGTCAGTAACATTTTCTTTAGCCTACCAGCCCAGAACATCTAGTGACCTACAGAAAGGAGCAGCCCATGTGTCAGAAGGCAAAGCACTCAAAATTCATAAATATTGTGGGGCCCACTTGTCTGCTTTGCCTCACAAGAATTAGCTACAGAACCCCTAGATATGCTGATTTTTGCTGGTGATAGCTTCCATCTTTTGCTAGCTTTCCAAAGGAATCTTTTTCTCAACAATATGTTCCAGATACTGGAATTTTTAAGCAAAAAATGACAAATGAATTTTTTCATTGTACTACAGTATGCAAACCAGAAAACAGGGGCAGAAACACAGGTATAAGTACTTTTAGCCACTGACTTGGTGTGTCTGAAGGCAGGCACCCACAATTATTTGCTTCTCAGCTGAGTCTCATGATTCTCTAAATTCTTACAAGGATTGGGAAAGACTGCCAAAGAAGGGAAGCGATCCTCTTCTGGTCCAGTTTGTCTTCAGAAAGTGGAAAACCTATCATCTGTTAAATGCAATGATTAACATTTGTGAATCACATGGAATTAACAGGGAGAAACAAAAGTTCAAACAACCAAACCAATATAGAAGGAAACTCCTTTACCAGGCCTTGTTACATGTGAAATTCCACGTTTGAAGAGAATGCACATTTCACATTTATTACATGTTAGCTATTATATATAGTACATTTATACTATATATAATTTATTTAAAGGAAACTCACAGTAATCCTTCAGTGAATGAGTGGTATTCAGGCTAGGATTCAGGCTAGGTATTCAAGTGTTGGGACTACAAGGAGAACACAAGTCCTGACCTACATCATAGGGATCTGTAGAAGCCAGAGTCAGGTCAACCACTGCAATTCTTTTGCAGGTAGAGCTACAACAACTTCTGTGTGTCTAGACCCTATCAAATGTCTCTTCTAAGAAACTTGATCCTATTTTTGTACAGCTTCCATCAGCTAAAGACCATCCCAGAGCCCTAGCATGACACTAATCTTTCTTCAGTGCCTGCCTGCAAAACTCTTTAAAAATAATATGCAGCTCACTGGCTTAGTGGCTGAGTTTTTCTTTGAGCTATGAAAGACAACCATCCTTCTTTACCTTTAATTCAGTCTGAAGAGATTTTTATGGATCTCAATAATGAAGTACCAGGAACATCCATGAAAATCTATACAACCCAATAGTTACAGATAGTGGAAGTTACATTCTCCATCCTGAATCTCCTCCTCCTTCTTCTCCCTAGATGACCCTTGTTAGTCCATCTGCCTCACTGTCATCTCTACAGTCACACCCAGCCTGGGAATTTTAGGATTCCTTAAGGAATGATAGTATCTAGGGAGAGGATTTTCCAGGGTCTTCCCAGAGGAGAGTCAGGCCATTCTGGAGAATGTGTCCATGGAAATATGATAGTTGTGACAGTTTTTCTGGGCTGGTTGGAGACTGTGATGAGAAAGGATGCACAAAAATAAAGGTGGGTTGTATGGGCTGAGGCTGTATGGGTACCACTAAGAGATGTGTATGTTCTCACCATTTGCATGCTCCAGCCAAACCCTTGCTTGTTGATGCCCACCATGTAGGGGACAGTGTTGAAATTCTTCTCAGCCAGGATATCTTCTGGTGTCTTTGGCAGCACCATTCCATCAATCACAGTGGGAAGGAAAGGGTAGCTCTAGGGAAGATAAAAATGCTATCTCTGAGATTACCCTTCCCCAGGTAACATCAGAATCTGCTTTCTATTTGTCTCAAAGCTTGGTCAACTCACAGACTCAATGGCTGTGGCCACAGGAAGTCAGGGTCCTAAATTGGAGCAAGTCTATGAATTGCTAAAAATATAACTGTGCCAGGGGAGCCAGAAACAATAGTGGCAGGTAATGGGTATTGGTCTTAAGCAAAATAATATATATATATATATATGTATATATATATAATTTTACATATATGTATATATACACATATGTATATATAAATAATATATAAATTATTTATATATTTATATTAATTATTTATATATAATGTAATATAATAATTAATTATATATAAATATATAATATATATAGAATTTTATATATGTATATAAATTGCATATAATTTGTAATTATATATATTATGATTTATAAATGATATACGTGTGTGTGTGTGTGTGTGTGTGTGTGTGTGTGTGTGTGTGGTTTAAATATTCCCTAAATAAATAGTTTGTCTTCAGTTTATGAAACTGCTTAGGGAGTTTTAAATATTGTGGCCTTGCTGAAGGGAGTATGTCAACTGCAGGGAGATCTAAGAGCTTAAAGCCTCATCACTTCTAAAGTACACTGTCTACTTCATGCTTGCAGTTCAAGCTGTGAACTCTAAGCTTCATGCTCCTGCTGCCACACCTACTGCTTGTTGTTTCCATCCTGCCATAACCTGAGAATCCCTTGCCTATGCTGTGGTCCCATGGTGGGCATTGCAGTTCTCTGGGCCTCCTCTGCCCTGTTCCTCTATAACTTATTTCCATACCTGTAAGGTAAACTAAGTAACTAACCAAATAAAGCTCCAACAAAACATTATGAGTCAAACAACCTCCAAAAATCATTGATTGAAGTCTTTCCTACATATAGGGTCCTTCCGTAAGGTAAGCAAACTAACTAAATATGCAAAGCTCTAACAAAGCATTATGAGACAAAGAACCTCCAAAGATGCCATTCAGTCAATTTGCTATGGTCATCTACCATGGGCATGGAGCCTACCACTAAAAGTGGTTTCTTTCCTCATCGAGACTGTTTTCTCATTTGTAAATAGCTATTGATTGGAGATAGCTTCTGGGTTAGGGATGGGGGTGTGCCCACTTCTTTCAACTGTAGGACCCCATCTAGTGCAGACCTGACCTGTTTGGGTTCTGTTAATGCTGCCATAGTCTCTGTCAGCTCATGTATGTCAGTCGTTCTGTGTTTTGAAAGCCTTGTTGCCTTTTGTGTCCTCCATCCTTGCTGGGTCTTACACTCTCTCCACCTCCTCTTCCACAGGGTTCCCTGAGCTCAGAGGTGAGGGGTTTTATGGAGACATTCCATTTAGGGCTGAGTATCCCAAAGTCTCTCACTCTGCAAATTGTCTGGCTGTGGGGCTCTGTATTTGTTCCCATCTGCTGTAGGAGGAAGCTTTGCTGATGATGGCTGAGCAAATAGCACTGATCTATGAAGACAGCAGAATGTCATTGGGAGTAATTTTATTACTACATTGCTTTTGTAGAACAGTAGTATTTGGTTGTATCTTAAGTCCCTGGACTAACAAGTCTCTGGTTCTTGGTCACCCAAGTAGTGTTGGTTGTGGGTTCCATATTACACAGTGGACCTTAAATCAAGTCAGATCTTGCTTAGTCACTCCCACAAGCTTTGTGCCACTTTTGTAACAAAATATCCTGCAGGCAGATGCCATTGTTCAGAACGGTTTGTAGCTGGCTTGGTGTTTATGTTTCTCCTCTGAGAGTGTGCAGAGTACCTTCCACTAGCAGGAACGCTAGTCTGAAGGGGTGAGGGCTCTATGCAGGAATCAGCTCAACTTCTCCATGTTCAGTGAGTTATGTGGGTGTTGTCTTCAGCAATAGGACCTTCCTATCAGCTTATGGAGAGCAACAAATAGCCTGGGTTGCTTTATGGTTCACATCGGACCCCTTTAGAGAAGAACTGGAATAGCTGTAACCTTTCTGGAACTGGAGTCTTCATTTGGTTATGAGAGATGTCCAGTTGGGCTCCATCTCCTCTGTTACTTGGCAAGTTTATTTAGATCACCTTTATAGTGTATCTACTTTAAGAGGATTCTGCTCTATTTGGTTTCCATTCTACTCCTCAAATGCAATCACATTCTAGCTTCCAGTTTTGTTTTTGTGGGATTCCTGAGTATGAACACATGTTTCTGTATCTATAGGTGTTACTCGGGCTTTTTCTTTGGCTCTTTTTATTATGTTTGTTTGTTTTATCCTATTTCACATAGTTTGTTTCTGTTTTATCTTATTGTACTTTATTGTTATCCCATAGATGTCTGTTTGTTTTCTAACAAGAGACAGAAAGGGTGTGCCTCCAGAGGAAAAGGGGGATGAAGAGGAACTAGGAGGAGTTAGAATGGGAGAAACCATAATCAGAATATATTGAATTTAAAAATCTGTTTTCAATAATAGAAAAAATGATTAAAATTTAAAAAGAAAGTATAGCCAGCCAATCAGAAGATAGCTTTGACTCCTTCCTAAACCACACTAAGTCCACATCTCTAGTTAAAGAAACTGAGGCCCACCCCAGACACTTACATAGGAGGGTAGGAGGTCACATTTTTCATGAAGCTCCAGGGCTCTGCAGGCTGTGGTGGAGCACAAGAGGAGGTTGGCAAAGGGGACTCCCAGGGAAACAGCCACAGGCTGTTTGAATCTTTCCAAGCTGATGTACTTCCCCAAGACTTTGCCATGAACTGTTTTCACCACGGGTGCTGAGAATGGGTGCCCTGTGGATGATGGAGAAAATGAGGACATATCAGAAGAGAAAGGTTAGACTGGATTCCATTTAGGCTTTGTCACTTTCTAGACATGTGACCTTGAGTAATTCAGCTCAGTTTTATAAGGTTCCACTTAATCTCATGTGAGATTACTGAACTCCTCTTCAGCTTAAATCACCTTTTGTTGAGTATTTCCATGGGGACACAAGTATCTTCATATGTTTTGCCCATTTGGAGAGACCTAGCCACATGCTTCTTCCCCAGATATTTTAGTCACTATTTCCAACTCATTGACAACCCACTAAACCAGTGAACAGTCACACATCTATCCATTTCTCCCTCCTAATGAACTCTAATACCATGTGCACTGCCCCACATTCTGCCCACTATGAAGATTTCCTTTCACCAGTATCTTCCAGGGTTGTCCTGATAGGGCTGCAATACTGCAGCTGTCCACTGGGTGGTGCCTGCATAATGTGTAGAACCATCATTAAGCCATGCTCTAGTCCTGTCTTCTTCACTCAACCACACAAGTGTGGATATAGGAGGCATCACCAGGTCCCACTTCTAGCTGAGGAACCATTGGAAATGGATGACTGTTAGGAGAGCACTAGCTACGTTTCTTTAGGAATGAGGGTCCTAGGAGGCCTGCTGCAGTAAATGGCCCTGCACCCCCGTATGTACTGAGAGTAGTTAATGAGACCAAGTGGAACTACTGTTTTATTTTTTTTTAGAAGTAAATGAGGTTGGGAATAAAAATGTTTATAATAATAGAAGAGAAAGGATATGGAATGGAGTGTACCTAAATACTAAAAGCATTATATGCATGTATGAATATTCTCAAACAATAAAATATGAGATCCAGGAGGCCTTAACCCTACAAAATAACTACAGGAAACTATTAAATACTAAAAGTGGAGACATAGTCTTCCCAATGGACAGGCAAAACATTGGTTATCAAATATGAAATAGTCAGCTCTAAAATGATACACAAGAGTAATATACATACTGATCTAGTTGTAGTTATGTATATAGGATTGTGTGTGTGTGTGTACATAAAAATAATTAACACAAAAGACACTATGAATTTGAAAAAGAACAAGTACAGTTATATAGTATGGTTTCAGGGAGGGAAGAGAGAAATTTTGTGATAATTATAATCTCAAAAATATTTTTAAATGAATTAAAATGGAACATGTCCATGCCTCGGTTTAGTAATAACAAATCTTATGCTTGTTCCCTTTGTTTTTTAGGAGATGCCTTTCCTGCCAAGCATGTGTGTTGGAAAGTCCATGGGTAGCAGCATTGCTATTTTGTGTGACTCCAACACATCTATAATAGAATACTATTTTATAATTAGGGGAAAGAATAATGAAGAGATCTGGAAAGTGGTCAGTGATGGGCACTAAGTTATCCACCTGAAAGTGAGTGTACACATGATGGATGTCTGTACCATAGGGGACCAGTGTGGCAAAATGAGGACGATTCAAAGCATAAACACAGGAAAAAGCTATTGTGAGATTGAGAACCATAACAGGAGAAGGACACAGCACTAGAGACATCAGGGAGAAGGGGAGAGAGCTTTCCAAGAGTTCTGAAAAGGAGGGTAAATTTTGAGCTACAATTATTAGGTGTGGCCTCTGTCAACTCAAGATCATTTGCCACCCGATTGAAGTGTGTGGAGACTTGACTGCTCTGAGTAGCAAAGTGAGCATATGAGACAGGAGGCACAGATGGAGGTACTGATGCTGCCAGCCATGTAATATGGAGTGTGTGCACAGTGACCACCTAATATAGACAGACACACTTTCCAAATCTCACAGTTTTCTTCAAAAGCCTTCATAGATAGGAGTTATCGAGGCCATGTTATAAATGAGGAATCAGGAATTGCAAACAACCTGGATGAACTTCCTGAAGACAAAATGAGGTGGGCATTGCCAGAGAAAACAGCAGCACAGGAGTGTTCAACTCCAAATTTGAGCCTTTTCTCGTTCTGCTTCACACTCTGCTTCCAGCCTCTCAAAATGTCACACAGCCAGAGAGCAGATCAAGTCTAGAAATGTCAGTGCTACCACTGTCCTTAATGGGGAAACATGTGGTAGATTCTGCAGGTAAGGCAGAGCTGGGCATAATCCAGAAGACCTTGGGTAAGTGCATTCTCCTGCAAACCTCAGTCCCTCTCCACAAAGCAGCACAGATGGTTGCCAAAGCATCACATTGCACCCCTGTACTGACCATGGATGTGATTTCCACACCTGTTGCTTTCACATTTGAAGCTCCGTTTATTGGGGTGAACTGTGACTCTTGGGGTCCAACCTTCTAGACACATACTTATCTGGGTCTTCTATCCTGGAATACCACTGACCTGTCTTAATCACTTAAAACTAGGTACCAGAAAAACAGGCATAACCTTTACATTCCTGAACTCCCTGAAATAACCTTAACCAACCACTGTTCTCTGTTCCTTATCTTCTTTTTAGGGTAAATCAAGACAAATATCTTTTTCACCTGTTTCCACTGCCTTAGCCTTATGACTGACCCCTGACCTTCCTTTCCATTTCACCACATTAGTGTACCCCTTTTCTCAGTCATAAATCATCTTTTGAATGGCCAGTTGCTCTTGGCATGATTTTACATGTCAAACCATCTAGGATCACATTGCATTTTAAATCAGCCCTTTTCTCCATCTCCTCGGTTGCTATGGGCACAACCATTCATCTCACTTCCATTCAGTTAAATGAGGAAGATGCTGTTGTCATCTTTATTTTAGAAACAGGGAAGTCTGGACACTACAAAACATAGTACCTTTCCCAAGAACAGGACACGGAGCTATGATTCATCTCTGTGTCTTGCTACTAATGTTTATGCTTTCAATACTTTGGTTAATTATTTCTCTATGCTCCATGACACCTAGACTAAGACTAGGAAGCAAATTAACTCCCCATGTAGAGGCAGGAGGTTATCTATGCCCTCCTTTGCCTCTGATCTGAAGTTGAGGGTCTTAGAATGTTTGTACTTCCCCTGTTGCCACTCCCCAACACCCCCTCCCGACCCCAGTACCAGTATCTAGGAGGCTTGAAACAGAAAAGACAAACACCTCAGAGAAACTAGGCCTGTTTTGCCATTCCCCACATGCATCTGTAAGGATGGAAAAATTTAGCCTAATTTTCCCTAGACTCTGCCCCCAGCAGTGAGTAGGCAAAAGGTCATTCTTGACCTGTGAGTGAATGAGAACAGAAAATGAGCCTTGCCACACTACCCAGGAGCCCTAGCGAAAGCAGACTTCCTGGGCAAAGCACAGGCGTGGATAGTTCAAATTGATTGGTCCACACTGGATGCTATTGAGATGATTGGTTTGTAATGCGCGGACTTTGTTGGAACCCTATAAAAGCTGTCTGAACCCTGTATCAAAGGTTCCTAGTCCCCTACCCCACGTGGAGTATGGCTGTGGATCCCAGTGCACTGGAATATAAAAGACCTCATGCTTTTGCACCAAGACTGCTTCTCGTGAGTGATTTGGGGGGGCCGCCTTCCAGGGTCCATGCTCTCCGAGGGTCTTTCATATCTCCATAAGCCAGGGCCCAAAACAAAGAATTTCAAATGTGTAACTAGTAGTTTGTCAGAGTGTACTCACCCTGAGTCAGGCAAGCAGTGAGAAAAGTCAGGACCAAAGCCCAGAGCCACATAATGAAAGGACCATAAGTGGTCCAGTGAGGTGCCCTGTGCTTGAGCTTGGAGGGAATATGCTGATTCTACCCCATAGCTTTTGGCCATTCCTGGAAATCCTGCCTCCTCTGCCAATTTGCATAAGATAAGCAGACAAAAATTCCCTGCCAAGGGCTCTCTGGGTGTCCAGTGGAAGGGACCTCTAAGCCACTACCACCTAGTCTGTACTCTTTTTTTTGCATAGTCATTGCTCAACTCTCAGATAACAGAGGCCCATAAACTAACGCAAGGACTTCTTACATAACATTTGTCCCTGTGCCAGTCAAACCTCAGTGTTCTGTGAGCCTCCCAAAGGCAGAGACTGGTATAGCAGGCAGTTGCCTTCACACAGGGGAAGCTTTGATCTGGCATCCTCAGAAAGGGATGGGAGATTTTAGAACAACTCAAGGCCTCCAAACTTCTCAGCTCCAAGATCTGGATCTACAGTTTAACATTCCTACGTCTGTATTTCCTAGAGTTCTAAGGTCTTGTGCTTGTAAATAACGTTAAATTCTATTCTGTCTCCTTTAGTGTCTGAATTGTCTTTAATATTTCTGGCAAGCTCTCCTGTGTGCTACTGCACACCACCTTATGAGAGAACACACTGCCTTGCAGAGCAGGCATTTGGAGAAGGGCTGTTCCCACAGTGAACCAACTCCACCCTCTGTATTCTAATCTCTTTCCATCCAATAATCTGTTTATTCTTAAGCATTTGCTAAAATGTCTGGCATTTCTTCCACAGGAAAGAAACTGGGAAAAACGGCATCTAGCTGCTATGAGTTTAGTCTTCTAGGGTGGAACCCTGAACCTTTTCTGCTTCCCACCTGTATCTGTGAAAATGAATGAAGAAACACAGCATTATTTCTAGTGCTTTAGCTGTTACAAACAACCTTCTTACTAAGAGTTAGAAGCTGTACAATGTCTTTTGAAAGAACATTAAAGAGATGGTTTCATTAAGGCATTTTCTTAGATGTGTCATTAGAGTGCCCACAGTGTACTTCTTGCCCCACCCCTATCATCTCTATTTTTCCCAGCTAGTCCCTGTTAGGAGTAAGGTATTTCTTGCTGGCCTGGACCCACCATGGCACCAGCCCCGAATAACACACAGACTCTGTATTTGATAATATGCTCTTGGTCAGGTACTAGTTTCTTATCGGCTAAGCTCTGTCTTAATTATTAACCCATTTTTATTAATCTAAGTATTTCCACGTGGTCTTATCTTACCTGAGAGTGGGCCAGGACCTCTGTTCTCGCCTCTCTCTACAAGTACCCTCTTCTACTTTCATACTACATATATTCCACCATCCTGCTTCCCTGAAGGGCTCTTCCTCCATCAGTGCACCATCCCCCCCCATTAGCAGCTGAGCTCTCATATGGCTTTTGGATATGTAAACTCCTTGGTATATAGACAAAATGGTCTATTTTCTACTACACAGACACATCCCCATTCATGTTCATAGTTGCTTTATGCACAATAGTTGGGATATAGGAACAGCTTATATGTCCATCATTTATGAATTGATAATGAAAATGAGGTACCTATATGCAATGGAATTTCATTCAGCTATTTAAAAAAATGGAATTTTCAGGTACATGAATGAAGCAGGAAATAATCTTTCGGAGTAATGTAACCCAGATCCAGAAAGACAAATGTCATATGTCCTCATTCATGTGTATATTAGTGTGTTTGACCTGGACTACCTATACGATTCAGAAAACTAGGAAAATACCCGTTGGTGGGAAAGAGAAGGAAGATCTTAATGGAAGAGGAGATAGTAAAAAC